AACTACCAAAACTGAACCAGGAAGAAATAGAAAACCTGAACAGACCTATAACCACTAAGGAAATTGAAGCAGTCATCAAAAATCTCCCAACAAACAGGAGCCCAGGGCCAGATGGCTTCCCAGGGGGAATTCTACCAAACATTTCAAGAAGAATTAATATCTATTCTTCTGAAACTGTTCCAAAAAATAGAAATGGAAGGAAAACTTCCAAACTCATTTTATGAGGCCAGCATTACCTTGATCCCAAAACCAGACAAAGACCCCATCAAAAAGGAGAATTATAGACCAATAATCCCTGATGAACATGGATGCAAAAATTCTCGCCAAAATACAAGCCAGTAGGATCCAACAGTACATTAAAAGGATTATTCACTACAACCAAGTGGGATTTATTCCTGGCCTGCAAGCTTGGTTCAACATCGTCATATCAATCAATGTGATACAATACATTAATAAAAGAAAGAACAAGAAACATATGATCCTCTCAATAGATGCAGACAAAGCATTTGTCAAAGTACAGCATCCTTTCTTGATTAAAACTCTTCAGAGTGTAGGGATAGAGGGTACATACCTCAATATCATAAAAGCCATCTATGAAAAACCCACAGTGAATATCATTCTCTATGGGGAAAAACTGAGAGGTTTCCCCCAAAGGACAGGAACACAGCAGGGATGTCCACTTTCACCACTGCTATTCAACATAGTACTAGAAGTCCTAGCCACAGCAATCAGACAACGAAAAGAAATAAAAGGCATCCAAATCAGCAAAGAAGAAGTCAAACTCTTACTCTTTGCAGATATGATACTTTATGTGGAAAATCCAAAAGACTCCACCCCAAAACTGCTAGAAATCATAGAGGAATTCAGTAAAGTGGCAGGATATAAAATCAATGCACATAAATCAGTTGCATTTATATACACCAACAACAAGACAGAAGAAAGAGAAATTAAGGAGTCGATCCCATTTACAATTGCACCCAAAACCATAAGATACTTAGGAATAAATCTAACCAAAGAGGCAAAGAATATGTATTCAGAAAACTATAAAATACTCATGAAGGAAATTGAGGAAGACACAAAGAAATGGAAAAACATTCCATGCTCATGGATTGGAAGAACAAATATTGTGAAGATGTCAATGCTACCCAGAGCAATCTATACATTTAATGCAATCCCCATCAAAATACCATCCACTTTTTTCAAAGAAATGGAACAAATAATCCTAAAATTTGTATGGAACCAGAAAAGACCCCGCATAGCCAGGGGAATGTTGAAAAAGAAAAGCAAAGCTGGTGGCATCACAATTCTGGACTTCCAGCTCTGTTGCAAAGCTGTCATCATCAAGACAGTATGGTACTGGCCCAAAAACAGACACATAGATCAATGGAACAGAATAGAGAGCCCAGAAACGGACCCTCAACTCTATGGTCAACTAATCTTCAACAAAGCAGGAAATAATATCCAATGGAAAAAAGACAGTCTCTTCAACAAATGGTATTGGGAGAATTGGACAGCCACGTGCAGAAGAATGAAATTGGACCATTTCCTTATACCACACACAAAAATAGACTCAAAATGGATGAAAGACCTAAATGTGAGACAGGAATCCATCAAAATCCTAGAGGAGAACACAGGCAGCAACCTCTTCGACCACAGCTGCAGCAACTTCTTCCTAGAAACATTGCCAAAGCAAGGGAAGCAAGGGCAAAAATGAACTGTTGGGACTTCATCAAGATAAAAAGCTTTTGCCCAGCAAAGGAAACAGTCAACAAAACCAAAAGTCAACCGACAGAATGGGAGAAGATATTTGCAAATGACACATCAGATAAAGGGCTAGTATCCAAAATCTATAAGGAACTTATCAAACTCAACACCCAAAGAACAACCAATCCAATAAAAAAAATGGGCAGAAGACATGAACAGACATTTGTGCAAAGAAGACATCCAAATGGCCAACAGACACATGAAAAAGTGCTCAACATTGCTTGGCATCAGGGAAATCCAAATCAAAACCTCTATGAGATACCACCTCACACCAGACAGAATGGCTAAAATTAACAAGTCAGGAAATGACAGATGTTGGCGAGGATGCGGAAAAAGGGGAACCCTCCTATACTGTTGGTGGGAATGCAAGCTGGTGCAGCCTCTCTGGAAAACAGTATGGAGGTTCCTCAAAAAGTTGAAAATAGAGCTGCCCTACAACCCAGCAATTGCACTACTGGATATTTACCCCAAACATACAAATGTAGTGATATAAAGGGGCACCTGCTCCCCAATGTTTATAGCAGCAACGTCCACAATAGCCAAACTGGAAAGAGCCAAGATGTCCATCAACAGATGAATGGATAAAGAAGATGTGGTATGTGTATATATATATCCATATATATATAGGATATATATAATATAAATAATGGAATATTATTTAGCCATCAAAAAACCCAAAATCTAAAATTTGCAACGACATGGATGGAACTAGAGGGTATTATGCTAAGCGAAATAAGTCAATCAGAAAAAGACATGTATCATATGATCTCACTGATATGAGGAATTCTTAATCTTAGGAAATAAACTGAGGGTTGCTGGCGTGGTGGGGGGTGGGAGGGATAGGGTGGCTGGGTGATAGACATTGGGGAGGGTATGTGCTATCGTGAGTGCTGTCAATCGTGTAAGACTGATGAATCACAGACCTGTACCTCTGAAAAAAATAATACATTATATGTTAAAAAAAAAAAAAGAAGATAGTAGGAAGGGAAAAATGAAGAGGGGGGATTCAGAGGGGGAGACGAACCATGAGAGACTATGGACTCTGAGAAACAAACTGAGGGTTCTAGAGGGGAAGGGAGTGGGGTTAGCCTGGTGATGGGTATTAAAGAGGGCACGTATTGAATGGAGCACTGGGTGTTATATGCAAACAATGAATCATGGAACACTACATCAAAAACTAATTATGTATGGTGATTAACATAACATAATAAAATAAAATTTAGAAAAAAGATAATCTTTTGCATAGCAAAGGAAACATTCAACAAAACCAAAAGAGAAGGTATAGAATGGGAGAAGATATTTGCAAATTTCTTACCAGATAAAGGGCTAGTATCTAAAACCTATAAAGGACTTATTAAACTCAATACCCAAAGAACAAATAATCCAATCAAGAAATGGACAGAAGACATGAACAGACATTTGTGCAAAGAAGACATCCAAATGGCCAACAGACACATAAAAAAATGCTCCACATCACTTGGCATCGGGGAAATACAAATCAAAACCACAATGAGATACCACCTCACACCAGTCAGAATGGCTACAATTAACATGTCAGGAAACAACAGATGTGGGGAATGTGGAGAAAGGGGATGTGGAGAAAGGGGAACCCTCCTACTCTGTTGGTGGGAATGCAAGCTGGTGCAGCCACTCTGAAAATCAGTAGGGAGGTTCCTCAAGAAGTTGAAAATAGAGCTACCCTATGACCCAGCAATTGCACTCCTGGTACTTACCCCAAAGATACGAAGGTGGTGATTCTGAGGTGTACCCGCACCCCAATATTCATAGCAGCAATGTCCACAATAGCCAAAATATGGAAAGAGCCCAGATGTCCATCAAAATGAAATTAGGGAGAGAAACCATAAGAGACTTTTAATCATAGGAAACAAACTGAGGGTAGCTAGAGGGGAGGCAGGTGGCGGGATGGGGTAACTGGGTGATGGGCATTAAGGAGGGCACGTGATATAACAAGCGCTGGGTGTTATATAAGACTGATGAATCACTGAACTCTACCTCTGAAACTAATAATACACTATATGCTAATTAAATTTAAGTTAAAAAATAAAAATAAATAAAAATTACGAAAATTTCCATAATATAAAATTTCTTAAAAAGGAAGGCAATAAACCAGGAAGCATCACTTTGAAGTTAACAACCATCTGACATGTGCCTCAAAGGAGCAAGTGTTTTTACACATAGAAAATAAGAAGCTGCTCAAAGCTTTGGGGCAGAGAAGAGGATAGCAACACTTTCCTCCTGACCCTGAGGCTTTGAGGTATGGGAGAATTAGCACCTTAACTGGAGATGCCATAATGGTGGTGGTGCCCTCAGCATATGGACTGGTTTCAATTAAGGCAAAGAAGTGGAGGGAGTTAGTGAAGAGATTGAGGATTCAGGTGAATTTCTGTAAAATGAATTGTCCTTAAATAACAAAAGAAAGGGGTCTATTTTCCTCACAAGATTAGTGGAAGGTTTTAGGATCTCATCTTTTAGGAATGGTATCTAATTTTTCCTGTAGCTTTTTTTGTGAATTCAGTATTATTGAGTTATACAAATTTTCAATGAAAGCACGTGGAAGGGGGAAGGGGAAAATAATGGTGATTATTCATATGCATTCAGTGTTTGAATCTAAGGGCAGTCTTTGAGTGGGAATTGAGGAATGCATAGGATTTCACACTATTTCAAAAGCATAAATGACAGGATTTGGTAACATTTTTAAAAAGGATAGCCTCTAATAAATATTAATGGTAGTAATTCCTTTTTTGGTCAAAAACAAGAAATTATACCATTATACTATGAAATCATCCCAGTATTTCCTTCATAAAAGTGAACAAATAGATTAAATGTGACACATGTACTGTATGACACGATCAATTGATGGAGCAAGAAATGTGTTACTTAGTGATACTTAATAAAAAATAATTATTGGGGCGCCTGGGTGGCTCAGTCGTTGAGCGTCTGCCTTCGGCTCAGGTCATGGTCCCAGGGTCCTGGGATCGAGTCCCACATCGGCCTCCCTGCTCCACGGGAAGCCTGCTTCTCCCTCTTCCACTCCCCCTGCTTGTGTTCCCTCTCTCGCTGTGTCTCTCTCTGTCAAATAAATAAAATCTTTAAAAAATAAAAAATAAAATAAAATAATTATTGTTTGTATAACTTTTAAGTTTTTAAACTGGTGTTTAAAGAAGATTTAAAGCAGGAGTAAATTATTTATGGTCAAACCTGTTTTTAAATTTAAGGATCATCAGTGGGAAGCAGTGATTGTGCCTGAGGATAAAGTACAAATATACAGCATTGAAGGTATTTAACTTGTTTCCTCTAACTCTCCTCTTGACTCTGATCACATGGAGTAGCAGTTGCATGCTCTCTGGGGAAAAAAATAGACTAACGAAAACAAAGTGAGCATTTTCATATATTCACATTCATAAATTTGATAGTTCAATATCAGTATTCCCTGAACCCACATTTCCCCCACCCCCAATTTCCCAACTCCTTCCTGAACTTTTCTTTAGTCTAAAACTTATGATCACATGTCACTTTCTTGTCAATATGTTCAAGGCCCTTGCCTTTTATCCTATTAGTTTGATGAGGTCCAAACATCTAGTTCCTGTACTAATATAACTGGAATCGTGTAACACTGCTGGTGAAGTCCTACAACTTGGCAACTGGTAGCACCACACATTCAGCTATCAAGATAGATCTTAGGCATTTCAATGGGGATGTGGTATCTCTTGATAGTTGTTACTTGCATATTCCTCTTGACTATGAATATTGAGCACTTTTGCATTTGCTTGGTGGCCATTGATATATACTCTTCGTGCAGTATCCGTTTAAATATTTTGTCCTTTTTTTTTTCTAGGCTGTCTTTTTTTAATTAAGTTTTTGAGTTCTTACATACGTGGGTATCAATTCTTTGATAGATAGATGTTCTATGTGTATTTTCTCCCCATCTGCATCTTGCTGATTTATTTTCTTAGGGGTGTCTTTAATGAGCAGAAGTCTTTAAATTTGAAGTCCACTTGATCACTTTTTTCATTGTGCTTATTGCTTTGTGTGACCTAAGTAATTTTTGACTACTACCAAGTCACAAAGATGTTCTTTTGTTTGTCTATAAAAACTTTGTGGTTTTAGCTTTTATGTTTGGAATTATGATCCATCTCAAAATAACATTTGGTTATGGTATGATACAGGAGTTGAGGTTCATTTTTTTCCCATGGACATGCAGTTATTCCAGGACTATTTGATGAAAAGATTTTCCTTTCCCCACTGGATTTTATTGATTCCCTCTTTGAAAATCAAATGACTGATAGAAGTGCACATTTTATTTCTTAAAGCTGTACTCCATCCCATGGATCTATTTGCCATTCCTTATGCAAGTAGTACCACACTGTTTTAATTTTTGTAGATTTATAGTTAGTCTTGAAATCAGATAGTGTAAGTCTTCCAACATTGTGGTTTTTTTCAAGGCTATTTTAGAAATTCTAGACCTTCTGTATTTCCATATATCTTTTAGAGTTGACTTATCAATTGCTATAAAAAGCCTGCTAGATTTATAATTGCAACTGTAGTTTGATATGGGGAGAAATAACATTGTAACAATAGTAAGTATTTCAGTCCACAAACATGGTGTATTTTTACATTTATTTGGGTCTTTGGTTTCTCTCAACAATGCCTTGTTTTCAGTGTAGAAATCTTACATATCCTTTGATGAACTTATTCCCAAGTCTTCAATCTTAACCTTATATGATTGTGAATAGAATTGGTTTTTAATTTCATTTTCCAGATATTTTCTGCTGGTACGTAAAAATACAATTGATTTTGAAATACTTACCTTGTATCCTACAATCTTGCCAAAGTCACTATTTAGTTCTAGTAGTTGTAGCATGGATTCCTGGGGATATTCTAGGTAGTCCGTCATGGTATCTGCAAATAGAGAGAGGTTTTACTTCTTCCTTTCTGATCCTTATGGCCTTCCTTAACGAAATTCTTTATCCCTCTCCCCTACCTCTTCTTCCTTCCTCTCTTTATTTTTTCCTCCCTTTATTCCTACCTTTGCCTTACTGCAATAGCTAGAACTTCTAGTACAGTATTGGATAGAAGTGGTAAAAGTGGTCATCTTTGCATTCTTCATGATCTTTGCTTAGGAAAGAACATGTAGTATTTGACCCTCAAACATGATGTTAGCTGAAGGTTTTTTGTAGATTACCTTCCATCAGGTTGAGGAAGTTGGTGAGTCTTCACGTGTATAAACACACATGAAACTATTATGCAATTCAAGGTAGTAAATATATCCAGTCCCCCTAAATGTTCTTTATGCTCCTTTTGATCTATCCCTAGGAAGATCTAGCCCCAGGAAGTCACTGATATTTTCTCTGCCATGGACAAGTTTACATTTTCTGCAGTTTCTATAAATAGAATCATACAGCATATACCTATATATATGCATATTTATGTTAGTATATATAATATGTATAATTATATGTACTATCTATGTAATATATAAAATATACATGTAAAAATATATGTAATACATATTTTATACAAGTGTAGTATATACGTTTATATATGACATTTGTATATTTTTTATATAATATATACATTTAGATATGTATTTTTTATTTAGCCACATTACATGTATTAATAGTTTATTCCTTTTTATTGCTGAGTGGTATTCCATTGCATGGTTATACTTCAATTTGTTTATCCGTTCACCTTTTGATGAGTACTTGGAATGTTCCCAGTTTTCAGCTATTATAAAATGCTGCTGTGAGTATTCATGTATACTTATTTCCATGTATGTGTATATATATGCTTTTATTTCTCCTGGGTAAATACTTAGGAGTGTAGTGGCTCTGTCAAAACATAAGTATATGTTTACCTTTTTCAGAAACTTCCAAAGTGTTGTCCCAAGCAGTTTTATCATTTTACATTTTCACCACCAGTGTGTAAGAGTTCCAGTTGACATCCTTGGCAACACTTCATATGGTCAATCTTACCTTGCCTTATTGCACTGCCTGGAACCTTCAGTACAATGTTGAGTAGAAGTGATGAGAGTAGATGTCTTTGCCTAGTTTTTGATGTTAGGCAGGGGAAGCATTCCTTTTTTTCACCATGATGTATTTATGGTGGCAGTTTTTCATGTGTGCCCTCTGTCAAATTGAGGAAATTCTCTTATTCCTAATTTGCTGCGAAAGCCTTCCTTGATCACAAATGTTGGATTTGGGGAAATGCTTTTCCTGCCTCTATTGATATTATATATAGTTTCTCTTGTTTGGTTCCTTAATAGAAATACATTGATTTTCAAATGTTAGACCAACTTTGCATTGTTAGGATAAACCCCACTTGATTTTGGTACGTTATCCTTTTATATATCATTGGAATTGATTTATGAAATTTACTTAGGAATTTGGTATTCTATGCACTAGAAGGTCTGCAGTTTTCTTGTAATGTCTTTCAGTTTCAGAGTGAGGGCAGTATTAGCCTCATAAAAATGAATTGGCAAGTTTTCCATCGTCTTCAGTTTTCTGTAAGAATGTGAGTGGAGTTGATACTGTTTCTTAAGTACCTACTAGTGTTTGCCAGTGAAGCAGTCTGGGCTGCCACCGTTCTTTGTTGAAGACTCTTAACTACAAATTCAGTTTATTTAATAGAAAGTGTTTCAGGTTATCTGTTTCTTCTTGAGTAAGCTGATAATTTTCTCTAGTAATCTGTCCATTTTATTCAACTTTAGTGGCATGAAGTGGTTTATTATGGTCCCTTAGTATCTTTGTAATGTCTGTAGACTTGTTATGATGGCCATTCTGTCACTCCTGATGTTTATAACTTGTATATTTTTTCCCTAATCAGTCTGATAAGAGGAATATCAGTTTATTGGTATTGTCAAAGAACCAGCCTTTGGTCTCATTGATTTTTCTCTATTGTTTTTCTATTTTCCACTTGGTTGATCTCTGCTCTTTTGTTTATTTACTTATTTTTTTGCTTTGGTTTTAATTTGTTTTTCTGTTTCTAGTGTCTCAGGGTAAAAGCTGATTTTATTGTATCTCCTTTGTTGGCTTTATACCCCCTTTAATTAGTGGTTGATTTAGGATTTATTCTATTCATTTTTAACTTAATAGTGTGTCTATTCAGGTAATACTACACCCTTTTATGTGTAGCACGGGAACCCTGCAACAGTGCACTTGCACATTTGCTTTCCTGGCTTTCATGCCATTGCTATCAATAAAAGGTTTTTGTTTGTTTCTTTGTTTGTTGTTGTTTTGTTTTGCATGTGTCAGAAACCTTGCAATATGGTGTAATGATTTTTTGCTTTATGCAGCCAATTAGGTTTTAAAGAGATTTTTTAAATGGATTAAAAAGTATTTTATATTTACCTACACGTTTACCATTTCCAGTGTTGAGTTTTCCTTTGTGTGGATTCAGATTTCTACCTAGTGTTGTTTTCCTTCTCCCTGAATGACTTGTCTAGTATTTCTTGTAGTACAACACCAGTGATGAGTTCTTTCAGTTTTTATGTATCAGAAAAATCTTTTATTTTGTTTTCATTTTTGAAAATTACTTTTGATACATATCGAATTTTAGATTGCCTGTTGTTTTAGTTCAGTTTACTTTAAAGATGTTACTCTACTGTCTCCTGGCTTGTGTTGTTTCTGATGAGAAGTCTACTGTCATTCTCTAGTTCGTTCCATTTTATTTAAAGTCTTTTTACCCCTGGATGCTTTTAAGATTTTCTCTTCATCACTAGTTTTAAACAGTGCCAATATCATGCTTTAGTGTGATTTTCTTCATGTTGTTTGTTCTTGGGGTTCATTGAGACTTTTGTTCTGTGGGTTCATAGTTTTCATCAAATTTAAAGTTTTTATCCAGTATTCTTCAGATATTTTTTCCTGCTGATTCTTTCTTCTCCTTCCCTTTGGAGAGTCTGATTACACATACACTAAGCTACCTGAAGTTTTCCCACAGCTCACTGATTCTGTGGTTTCTCCACTCCTTCCACCCCAGATTTCCACCCCTTTTTTTTCATTTGAATACTTTTCTATTGCTGTATTTCATGGTCATTAATATTTTCTTTAGCAGTGTCTAATCTGTTGTTGGTCCTATCTTGTATAATGTTCACCTCCCGTGTTGTATTTTTCATTTCTGGAAGTTTGATTTGGGTCTTTTTGTAGGATAAATTTTTAATTTTAGAATAGTTTTAGATTACAGAAAACTTGCCAAAATGGTATATAAAGTTTCTATGTACCTCCTCACCCAGTTTTTCCAATTTTTTAAATTGTGGTTAAAAAACAAATAAATACAACATAAAATTTACTACCTTACTATTTTAAGTGTATGGTTCAGTAGTGTTAAGTATATTCACGTTGTTGTGAAACAGATCTCCAGAACTTTTGTCATCTTGCCAAATTATAACTCTATACCCGTTAATCAACTTCCCTTTTCCGCCCATCCACTCAGCCCCTGGTAACCACCATTCTACATTTTTCTTCTGTGAATTTGACTATTTTAAGTGGAATCATACAGTATATATCTTTTTGTGACTGGCATTTTTCATTTAGCATAGTGTTTTTTCCCATACTTTTTTTTTTTTTAAGATTTTTATTTTCTTTAATCTCTACACCCACCTTGGGGCTCGAACCCCCTAGAACAAGATCCACTGACCAAGCCAGGAGCCCCTTATTTTATTTTATTTTTAAGATTTTATTTATTTGCGAGAGAGAGAATAAGAGAGAGCATGAGAGGGAGGAGGGTCAGAGGGAGAAGCAGACTCCCCGCCGAGCAGGGAGCCCGATGCGGGACTCGATCCCGGGACTCCAGGATCATGACCTGAGCCGAAGGCAGTCGCTCAACTGACTGAGCCACCCACGCGCCCCCCCCCCTTATTTTTTAACTTTTATATCTTTTTTTTCACATCTTACATTTTTATGGTACCTCCGTTACTGCATTCTAAAACAAAAAGCCTACTTGGATCTTCATCTTCCTCTAGTTGTCTCACTCTTTTTCCATTCATAGCCAATTTTGAAAGATAGTTTTTACTAAATCTTTTTTTCTCCTGCTTTTCATCCTGTCCTTATTACATTGTTTTCCATCCCACTCCACTGAAATTTTAGATGTCAAAATAATAGTTTATTATTAATATCAATATGGACACTTTCAGTCCTTATACTTGAACCTTCCCCCACATTTGACACTGTTGACTACACTTTCATTTTTTAATCTTTTTCCTAATTTCTCAGCTAAGCTCTATATACTCATCCTTTATTTCCTATTTTGACAAATGGTATGATAAAACTTCCAGGTCCCCCAATATAGAAGCCATTCTTGATTGTTTCCTCTCCCTCAACTAATCATTTTTCATGTTCATGTATTTCTCTTAATATTTTTTGAATTTCTTTACTCCCCTTTATTTTCATGCTTATCACTGCCTCCACTTCCTAATAAAGTTCTGTCTTTTGCATCTTGCCAAACGTAGTTGTGCATAATTGGGTAAAAAAAAAAGTTATTTTCATTGTTGTAATAGCATAACTTGATTTTTAAGATTTATTTTCCAATACATAACTCGTCCTAATTTTATGAGGACACTTTTATAAAAAATTAAGTTCTTTATGTTTAGATTAAAAGGGGTTTTTTGGAGCTTCCTGGTTGGTGAATAATAATGAATCTTCATGCCAGGAGGGTGGTGCACCCTAAACTTCACAGGGACAGGAGCTCCTGTGCTCCGGACCCTTCCAAACCTCACTCACACTGTCTGTCTCTTCACCTAGCTGTTCATGTGTATCTTTTAATATCCTTTGTAGTAAAGTGGTAATCTAGTGTAACCTATATGGAATGGGCAGTATCTGAATTTTTACATGAATAGCAGTCATGGAAGTAAAAAAAAAAAAGGAACCTGGAAGTCAGTCAATATTTCTAGTGAAAAAGAATTTCATTAGTTGCAGGCTGAGGGGATGGGGAAGCAGCAGCATGATGGATTGCAGGCAGTGAGACCCTTTTATATGTAATATGTAAGAATGTATAAAATGAAGGCTCCATGGGCAATCTTAAAATTTTTTTAAATGCCTTTGCAGAAGAAAACATTATTATATTCATATAGTGTACTAGAATCTCATATAAATATGTTTATCTATAAATACTTAGTTTTTTTTTTTAAAGATTTACTTAGAGTGAGAGCACGCTTTCACATGCCCGTGTGCGTTGGGAGGAGAGGAAGAGGGAGAGAGTCACAAGCAGACTCTGCACTAAGTGTGGAGCCCATCATAGGGCTCATTCTCACAACCCTGAGATCATGACCTGAGCCAAAACCAAGAGTTGGATGCTCAATTGACTGTGCCTCCCAGGCACCCCAAAATACTTGGCTTTTTAGCAAACAACAAAATAACTTTCCTGGTATCATAGTAATATTGCTAATTAAAAACAAGCTATGATATAGTCCAGGCAGTTAAAGGAACTAACAAAAATTTCAACAAAGCCCACAATAAAATATAACAAATATCAATAAATTCTTTATAGATAGTCACAGTATATGTGGGGAATAGTTTGTACAAAAAGGTACAAAACATTCAGCAATATTTGAAGTAATTCTAATATGTTTATGTAAGCAGTGAAACAAATATTGTATTTACTATAAGTTTGTGGCAAGCTGCAGGAAAAAAATCATATCAGAGCAATATAATAATCAAAAATATCCATAAGGATTATAAATTTTCTAATATTCATCAGAATTCAAAACATTATTCGCTTCAAAGTCACCCAAACTTTCAACTCTAAAGCCTGAAAACTTGTTACTTTTGAAACACATGACTTTTTTTCCCCAGAATAAAACCACCAGCACTCTTTGAGTTAGAAGCTGTCACCATTATCTTCAAGCAATTAATAATTCTTATAATCATCAAAGGACTTTACTGCGGAAGTTTGTCATGACCATATAGTTGCAAAAACAGACAACACATATTCTGCTTGAGTAAGCCTCATAGGAATCAGAATAATTTATCCTGTAGATTAGGTCATGAAGTAGGCAGCAGAGCTTTTCTTCATGTAGAGACAAATTTTTCTACTAGGTATGCTCCATCTCCATCAGGATGTAGGATTTCCTCCTGCCCAAAAATATACGGTGGGGGCAGGTGTGGCTACTTGTCAGTCATCAACAGGAGTACCATCAGAAGTAGAACAGGGCCATAAGTGGCCTTTAGTCCGTAATACAGGCACATTAATTGGATGCCAAGTGATTCTTCGGTGAATTTTTAGAGGAAGGGAAGTGAATACCTCTTATAAACTGGCACTTACAGTATTTTCAGTGGATCAGCGAATTAATGGAGGAATTGCCCTGATTCTTTCTTTAGTTTCCTGGCACTCAAGGTGTTTGACAGTTGTCTACTGTCAACTTGCTTGTAACAGCTGGATTTAAGAGAAATGCTTGAATGGATGCTTATGCCTAGAAATATAGTTACTTATGGAATTAAAGTTATTTTCTTTGCCTCTTTTAAATTAAGCAAATAGTTTTCTTAGATATGTTCTAGGAGTATTTATTAAGAACCTATTAGTGTCCACAGCATATTTAGGGCTTTAGCTCATTAGTTATTGTATTACTTTGTAATTCATAGATCAAGAAACAGACTCTGAAAAATAAATTTGGATTGGTTTTCATAAGTAGTTAGTGCTGGAATTGATTGTTAAATCCTAAAAGTTAATGTTATTTCACTTCAATTTAATTAATATGCTACCTGGCTTATTTATAACATGCCTAGAGAGTGGTATCATAGAAATGAATATAAACTAATTGGTGTGATTTGTTTGTATACAGTGAGAGAATCGAAGAAGCTGCTGACCATAATTCTGAAAAACATAGTAAAAATTAGTAAAAGAGAAGGGAAAGAATTGCTTTTGTATTTTGATGCATCATTAGAAATCACTAGTGTGACACAAAAAATTTTTGGTGCACATAAATATAGGGTAAGTGTTTAAATTCTTTTCAACATTTATTTTCATAAGATTCTTTTTAATATTTATTTTCATAATTATGGAAACTTTCGGTTACCAGGGGCTGTAAGTTTCATTTTTTTCCCTAGAATTCTTAAAATGACATGTTGATTTTTAGTTCTTTAAATTTTTATTGTGGAATAGCCCTCAGATTGTAGGCCATATCCTTGAGACACCTGTTAGAATCTCAGATGACAAAATAAGCTGCAGTATTCAAAATATTTAATGAATTCCTGCTAGGTGTTTAAAAAGTGAATTAAGACAAGACCATGTTTTTAAGATATTAAACAGTGTTTGTGAGAATTAGAGAATCTACCTCAGAAGTAAATAAGGGGCAGGTGTAGAAGTTGAGAAAAGAGAATGCTCATTAAGAGTCTGATATGAAGGAAAGGCTGTTCAGATGGGACTTGAAATGGCCTTGGAAATTGATGGGTGAAATTTAGAGAAGATGCATTCTGGGACTGTGGAAGACATGATGAGTCAGTAAGGTGACGATTCAGGTTCAGTTTCAGGGAGCTACTCTGTTGACAGGCTTGGATAGCGCATGTCGTAGTCTGTTCAGGCTGCTGGAGCACGAATACCGTAGACGGGGTGGCTGAAAATGAGAGACCTCCTTTCTTTCTGTCTCTTCTGTCATTTCTTTTTCTCTGCCTCCCCATTCACTTCCATCTGTCTCTCCTAGCTCTGGAGGCTAGGTGGCTATGACTGGCACCAGCAGACACACTTTCGGCCGAGGCCCCGCTTCCTGTTTCACAGTGGCTGTCTTTTCACTGTGTCCTCACATGCCAGAAGGGGTCAGGGAGTCCTTTGGGGTCTCATTTCATAGGGGCACTGATCATATTCACAAGGACCCTGCCCTGATGAAGCAGTCACCTGCCAGAGGCCCCGCCTCCTAACACCATCACCTTGGGGGGTAGGTTTCAATATATGAGTTTGGGGGACTCATTCAGTTCAGAGCAGTGCAGAAGATTTATGGGGAAGAAAAATAGAGACTGTGTGTGGAGAAAGGGTATTTATATATACAAAATAATGATTTGAGATAATTTGGGAGTTTTGAAAGGAAATGCAGGAAATACATTAACATGGAAAGAACTGGGAGAAAATGACATCACTTTGAATTAATTTAATTTTAGGAATTTACCAGAAAACAGGGTATTTCGGTTGCCAAAACATCTGTGCATATACTTTTTGATGCAAGTGGATCACAGGTATGTGTCTGACTTACTTGATTTTTATCACTGAGCTAAGTTGAACCCTAAATAATTGCACAGCATTATGTTGGATGGTGAGTATCTGAAAAATGAATTGTCTCAACATAGAGTGCCCCACTAAGGTACATGATTGTTTAAACGTGTTATTAAAGATCATTTACTTTAGTACAGAAGATAGTTATTAATATCATTTTGGTAACTTTAAAAATTAGGCATATATGTCCTGCCACTAATGCCAAAGCTTGTTTTATGTCTATGGACGTTTGAAAATGTGGGTGTTTTTTGTTGGGTCACTTTGACTAAGTACATGGAAAACAAAGAATTGACTTTGGTAAGTGTGGGATGAATGGGCGCTTTACTAAGACATCCAGTGATTTTTGAGAACTTCCTGCAGTTTGCAGTTTGAAATACTTTTCTCCACATTCTCCAACAGATTCTAGTGCCAGAAAGTCAAGTCTCACCCACCGAAGAGGAACTCACTACTTTGAAAGAAAAACCTAACTCCCAAAAGGAATTTGCTAAACCTCCGAAATATATCAAAAACTGTAATCAAGGAGACAGAAAGAATAGTCAGCTTGAGGTAAATATGGTGTCAAAATAGTTGTTGATAGGGGCACCTGGGTGGCTGTCGTTAAGCATCTGCCTTCAGCTCAGGTCATGATCCCAGGGTCCTGGGATTGAGCCCCGCATCGGGCTCCCTGCTTAGCAGGAAGTCTGCTTCTCCCTCTCCTGCTCCCCCTGCTTGTGTTCCCTCTCTCGCTGTGTCTCTTTCTGTCAAATAAATAAGTAAAATCTTAAAAAATACATAGTTTTTTATAAAATAGCATAGATCAAATCATTGCTACATATAATTACAGAAAAAAAAAAGCATCTAGAATTTACCTTAATGGCCTTCATCAATAACATTCAGAGTATTTCCCCTGCCTTTTACAAATGCAAACAAAAGATAGTATTTTAGCAATTGTGTTTGTGCAGGGTTAAGAGGGTTAAGTAAGACAAGGTATACTATACACTTGTAAATTCCAAGTTAGAAATATGTAAGAAAGTACCACTTGTTACATTTATCCTGTCTATTTTTGCTTTTGGCTGTTATGTAGAATGCAAATCTATAATGTAACGTTCTCTTTATTTGCTTAAGGAAAGAAAGCTAAGTATTAAGTACTTTTTCCTCCTCCTCCTGCTGGTGGAGACTCTCCTCTAGGCCATATTCAGCAGAACCAGTTCTCAGCCTCCTTGTCTTGTTGTGACACTTGAGGTTGCTAACAGCCTTGTCTTTCTTAATGTCCTCACCTTCTTTGATTTCTGTTAGCCTTTTAGTTCTCTTCCTACTTCTGTTACTACATTAGAGATACTTTCTTTCCCCGCATCCTAAATGTAGATTTGCTCTGAAAGCTTGACTCAGCTTCTTGAACATCTCTATGCCTTCTCCCTTAAAGAGCTTCCTTCATGTGCATAGTTTAAGCTCTTGAAATATACCAGACCCTCTTCAAAGTGCTGCAGGGAAGTCTCCACTTACTCTTCGAGTGTTTCCTTTTGTATGTCTTGTTTTCCTGATCTAACCTGAAACTCTTTTATCTTTCGCTTCAAATTTGCATCTGCCTCCATACTTCAATAAAGCTACCATTAATTTTCTGATGGTATCCTGAATCCTGCCTCATCTCCCCTGACACCTAGGACCAAGGTACTAGTGATGGTTCTTTCACAGTACCTCGCACATCCTCCCCTCCTCATTCCCTTCGCCCTTACTCATTTTAGTACACCCAGCTCAGTACAGCAGCCTCCTCATTGTCCTTTGACTCTGTGAACTACCCCATGTGGTATTCCTTCCCCTGGTTTTTCTTAATCCCAGAGTCCCTGTTGCATTCTGCTCAGAAAGTTGTGGGATCTCTGTGTTTATCTTCCTGCATCGAAATTTTAACTCAATTCTGAGACCTACAAGTTCATTTTACTCTACATACTGACCACGTTAGTAAGGTTAACTGCTTTTCTGCCTCTTTTTATGTCACACTAATTCTTGCCTCTATACCTTCATTCATGTTGTTTGTCCTTTTTTTTTTTTTTTTTTTTACCTTCCCTCATTTAAAGTGCCCTTACAATTGCAAGTCTTGATTAATTTTCACTTTTCTTCATGGACCTTCTCCTGTTTTAGTTTTTACTAATATCTCACCTTTGGGCAACTTTAACTCTCACAGGCTCGTCCGTACATTTTTTCATGTTGATGTTACTCACTGTTTTTTCCCCATTAGTCTTGTGTCCTTCGTTAAATGAAAAATGCCATCTTCTGTTTTCTTTGGACAATTAAATTATAAAAGCCATTTTCTATGTTTTTATATCAGGGTCATAACACGAGTACTTATTTAAAATGCTAATTCTTAGGGCCCCCCTACCTTAAATTTATTGTCATAAACTCTAGAAGTAAAAATCTCTAAGAAACAGTGCACTGTTGTTAAATACCACTGTGTTTTTGTTAAGGATTGACTGAAGCATTTATATGAATAGGTAACTTCCCAGGTCCCATTCACTATGCCACTAGGAACTGTCTTTTCTTGAAGAATCCATTGGTTCAGTAGTTTGTTTTCTGGTTAATCGTAGAATTCCTCCTTTTCCTCTCCTTTCCACCCTTCCTCCACACCCCGTTTACAGAACTATTAAAAACTCCTGCAGTATTTTTTTCTTAGTCTTAGGGGCAGGTGCCTTTTGAAAACCAGATCTCCTTTGCATCTTTACAATTTGTCACTATCTGCTCCGTTCCATGGCGTCCTCTGAAACTCTTTTCCACCTCTGTTCAGTGACTCTAGGATGAAGTTAGAAAATGCACATCTTTACTGGAACCACTGGCTCTGGTGCCGCTGAGGCTCTGAATTCCTGTAGCTACTTTTTACTCCAAAGCTACTTTAGTCCTCAGAATATTAATACAGTTTTTAAAAATGTGTGAAAGTTTTGAAGAATTCTAAACATTACGAAAGCATTCACAAACAAATGTATATAAATTTACATAACTATGTATCCAAATATCATACACTGAAATAGAATAAGAAACTGAGCCATTGGTTATAGATACACTCAGTATCAATAAAATATTTTCAGCTAGTATATAAGGTGCTATATTTCATATGTATGGGTATTCTAGAAATACTTTTTTTTAAATTTTTTTTCATCATTATTTTTTTTATTCTTATGTTAATCCCCATACATTACATCATTAGTTTTAGATGTAGTGTTCCATGATTCATTGTTTGTGCATAACACCCAGTGCTCCATGCAGAACGTGCCCTCCTCAATACCCACCACCAGGCTAACCCATCCTCCCACCCCCCTCCCCTCTAGAACCCTGTTTGTTTTTCAGAGTCCATCGTCTCTCATGGTTCGTCTACCCCTCCGATTTCCCCCCCTTCATTCTTCCCCTCCTGCTACCTTCTTCTTTTTTTTTTTCTTAACATATATTGCATTATTTGTTTCAGAGGTACAGATCTGAGATTCAACAGTCTTGCACAATTCACAGCGCTTACCAGAGCACATACCCTCCCCAGTGTCTATCACCCATTCACCCCATCCCTCCCACCCCACCCCCCACTCCAGCAACCCTCAGTTTGTTTCCTGCGATTCAGAATTCCTCGTATCAGTGAGATCATATGATACATGTCTTTCTCTGTTTGACTTTAGAAATACTTTTTAAAACAAGTTTTGGCTACCTATTCAATACTAAATATTAGGATAAAACCTTTCAAGTCAGCCTAAAACACAGAAATTTTTGGTTATCATGTTGTTTATAAAATACCGTATATCAGGGCACCTGGGTGGCACAGTTGGTTGAGCATCCAGCTCTTGGTTTTGGCCCAGGTCATGATCTCAAGATCCTGGGTTTGAGCCCCAGGTGGTGCTCTGTGCTCAGCATGGAGTCTCCTTGTTCCTTTCTCTCTGCTCTCCCCCCTGCTTGTGCTTTCTCTCTTGCTCTCTCCATCTATCTCTGACGTGAATAAATAAAATCTTTTAAAGAAGTACCATATGTCCTTTGTGTGTAGTCAAGGTAAAATGCTATGGATAAAATTACAGAATATTTAATTTCAAAACAGAATGTGTGTTTACTGTGGCTGCTTCTTGTGGTTTCAGATAATTACTCCTAGCAAAAGAAAAATGTCTGAAGCATCAATGATTGTTCCTGGTGCAGACAGATACACTGTGAGAAGTCCAATTCTTTTAATCAACACATGTAAGTTTTATAGTCTTAAAAGACTTTTAACAAACATTTTTAAAATCAACATTCTTTAATTCAGAGATATTCTGGGCATAATTTACATAGAGGATAAGTTGGGGATATAGAAATTATTAAGATATGAACCACAAATGTCTTCTAATTGTCAAGAAATTTCAAATTTCTAAGAAAGGTATATTGGTTATTAACATGTAAACATTATTCAAAGTATTAATACCCAGCATTAGTAACTTATTGTAATTTGAGTGAGAGTCAGCTGTAACATAGTGGATAGAACATTGAATTAATCAGGATGCTTGGGCTTATTTCCCTACCCCCAGGTGTGTACTTTGTACAGATTATCCTCTAGTTAAGTTTAGAACCGGTTTTCTTTTTATAAAATGGAACTAAAGTGTCTATCTCATCAAGGTGTTTAGAAGACTAAATAAAAATCATTCACTCAATGAGAAATATTATGAAACATTTAGATAGTGCCTGGTACATACTAAGGACTAAATACAAATAAAAAAATAATACTGTATACTAACTGCTATAAAGCACAGTCTTATTTAGTATATATGACAATTTAATAGTGACCTTCTGTTTCCAAAATCCAATTGCCTACTGGATAGTTACTTAATGTCCAGTAGGCTTCACAATAAATTCATCTTTCCACCCTCTCTGCCAGTTTTTTGTCTCTTTCTTACCTTGGTAAATGGCATCTGTATACTTTATTCATCTGAACCAGAAACCTGGGACCCATCCTAGCACCTCCCTTTTTTACCTTCCTCATCTAAAAAGTACCTCAATAATAGCAATATGTAATTTTAGAAGCCCTATAAATATTACAGTCCTTTGTCCTCCTTTTTAGCACCACCACGAAGAGGAAGAATTAAACCACCACTGCAAATGATGAGTTCTACAGAAAAACCTGATACACCTAAAACATCAGAAAGTGGAGTGGATAATGCTGTATTTCTTATATCTAGACCATCTGAAGGAAGAAATAGTGGAGATAATACAGACAAAGTAATTTTACTTTGAAAACATTTTTAAAAATTAATTTTATCAATCTATTGTAGAAATACATATTGAGCTAACTTCTTTTGCAAGCAGTGAGGGCCTCACTTTGTTTAAAGTACCATCACACACACACACACACATATATATACATACATATATATATATATATACATGTGTACATGTATGATTTATTGTTTTTGAAAGTCAGTTCCTTCTGACAGGACCTACTTACTGTGCTAACAGTAAAATTGAGGAATATCCCTTCAGTATAACTCTGATTTATGTATTCAGTAGGAGAAATGGACTTGCCATCATTCTTTAGTTTATTATACAAGTTAGTGTCTGCTAGAAATGTAAGATACACATGGAGTCTGTCCTTAAGTATCTCAAAGTTCTAGTGTGGAAATTAAATAAATTAATAAGATAATTATAATATTGTATAAATGTTCTCAGATTGTACATATAAGATGCAGTAGGAACCTAGTGGAGGGGCAGTGCCTAACCGCAGAGCTGGAGGGGAGGGTGAAGATCAGGAGATGCTCCTTAAGGAGATGGAGAGTGAGTTGGTTTTTGAAGGATCAATAAAGGTTAGTCAAATGGACATCAAGGAGAAGGGCATTCATTCCAGGTAGTTGAAGGGACAGAACAGAGAATAGCTGAGAGAAAATTATTTCTTTGTGAGGCGAGGTAGTCAGAGATACAGATAAGTAAGTTTGTTGATGAGAAATGCCTAACAGCTTTTGTTTTCATTGAAGTATGAGGTGAACATGGTGAATTTGTCTTGGCGATATGCTGAAGTAGAGGGCTCAAGGGTGTAAAGACTTGAAACAGTTACTAAGATAATGGGGAGGGTAAGTGAAGGATAATGAAGAGTAAGTAAAGGTGTTAGGTTGAAGGCCCTTTCAATTTAAGACTGAATTTTATGTGTCATTTTTCTCCAACAAAGCACAGTAAAAAGGAATAGGTGGTGGATTTAAAAAAAAAATGGTTATGTGGCCAAAGGATGAATGGTGCAAGAGTTGAAGATACTCGGGAAAAAAGTCAAAAGTAATTGTTCAAATTAATCAGCTGAGTGTTCCTTTATTAGGGTGCTGTTGTTCAGTGGTGTGGTGTGGTCCTGAGTGTGGTAGGATGGTGGGCATCCCAGACCTGGGCTTGCTTGTTCCAGTCAGGGAGCCCTTCTGTCGTTGTGACAGCCAACACGTACCTGCATGCTTTCCTACTGCTCCTGTCCTGGGATGGAGAACTGCCTGCTAGACCAAGTAGTGAAGACAGCCAGCATGAGGCACTGCGTCTTAGCCCGGAGGGCGTGTGTTTCTGAGTGATGGCAGATTGTTATCAGATCTGTGGCTATGAACAGAGGGAACCTTGGTGGAGGCAAGAAGTTACCTGTTCAGTGGCCACAACTTTACAGAATCCTTTAATATTCTAGAATTTCCAACTCTTGTGTGTATGTTAGTGAAAAGACAGAATAAATGCAGGCTGTGAGATCAGCTGCAGTAGGAGATGTGCCACGGTGATTCTAGAAATTGTCAGTTACAGATGAGAATGGAATTATTGTACTAGCTGTGGATGAGATCAGAAAGTTTGTAGGCTCTTCTGCCTTGTCTGTAATGAAAATTATTTTCTTATGTTTTAGAATAAGTAGCATTCTGGAATGGGCCATAACCTTTATGAAACAATAGAAATACTATCCAACTTTTAATAGCAAGGCAAATTATTTTAAAGGTTTTAAACTTTAATACTCTGACTTTTAAGAGTTGTTTTCATGTAATGCCTTGATTTAAATTTACATTACCATGTCTCCTCTGTGTTATAGCATATCAAAATGGCTAAAGTTGTAAAGAAGACAGAAAATAAGGTTGTTGAATTCCCAAACCAAAATATGAGTAAGTACTTTTTTGGTTTAATTTCACCTTCTCTTTTAAAAAATGTATACACTTCATATTTCCCTTTAACTCCACTGGCTTTCATTGATTTGAAAAAGAAAGATTTAGAATGAATGCATTTGGCTTTATGAAAGGAACTTAGAGGTTACAAGGAAATATAATACAATCTCTATTTCCAAGAAGATCAATCTCTGTATCCTAATAATGTGAATCTTGATCAACTTCTATACCAACTCCCATTTTACCCTGCCAACTGCACAAAAAATTGAAAATGCCATAATTTTTATTTTATTTAGATGACCTGCAGGATATTGTTCCAGATTCCCAGGCAGTGGAGAAAATAGATAAACCTGTGTAAGTATGAACAAAACCATCAAATAAGTTAGTATATATTAATGTTGTTTTTATATAAATGTGATACATTTAAAAGAAAAGGCTTCTATATTCTTAGAATGTAGTATTGGCTCTCACAGTAATCAGCTCAAGTATTACTATGATTGCACAATGGGGAATAGTCTGTGTTTTTTTCATAGCCACCAACATTACTCTTTTCCAAATTGAGAGACTTAAAATGAGATTTTTAAAATAATAAAGTATGAATGTGAAGAAATTTAACCTAGTTTAAATACACAGTAGAACATGTAAGATATGTGAGATATATTTAAGTAGATATGAAATAATAGCAATAATGGAATTTTTTAATAATAGTTTTTAATCTGATCAGTTACATAGTAAGTTTTAACTTTCCTAATGACTTACCAAAATATTTTCATACTTGACTAATGAACTGCTATCAATAAACATTGACTAAACAAAAAAAAATCAAGGTCTCATGTCAGAGTCATAGGCTAATGTTTTGTAATACATTAAGCAAGTTATTTTATTTTCCAGGTTACGTGGTGTTTTGGACAACATCCGTGGGGAAAAGATGCCCTCCAAATGGTCCTGTTGGACTCCTGTAACAAATATTAATCTGTGTAATAACCAAAGAGCAGATACTTCATCAGGAGACATACTCAGTCAAGGTGAAACGTTGTTTCTCTGTACACAATAGCAGCTCAGGGAAATACTCATTTCTTGCAATGTCTAATATCTTTGATTTTAACAAATTTATGTATTACCAGCTTATTAATTTAATAAGGATTGGTTTTTATTTCTCCATTAGATGTTACTGTGAACAAAAAACTTAGGAAACAAAAATCATCCTCTTCAATATCTGAGGATAATTCTGAAGAAACAGAAAAGATGCACTATAAGAAAAAAACAATGCAGCATAACAAAATAGAGAAAGCAAAAGTAGGAGTGTGCAAAAGAGACACTCAGCAACGACTAAATCGTGCTAAACATTCGGAGCAGAAAAATACTGAAAATACCAAGCAAAGTGATTGGCATATTGAATCTGCAACTACTTTTAAGTCCGTTCTCCTAAATAAGACAGTTGAAGAATCTCTGATCTATAGGAAGAAATACATACTGTCAAAAGATGTGAATACTGCTATTTGTGATAAAAGCCCTTCTCCTAGAAAAAATGTGAAAAGTCATAGAAAAGCAGGGAAAAGATTAACATCTGAACTTAATTCCTGGGATTTGAAACAAAAAAAAATGGTGAGCTTTCAGTGTGTTTGGTTTCTGCATACCTATAATATGCCTACCTAATGGCATAAGACAGTGAAAGAAGCTTGATGGATTGCTGCAGATTTAACATTTGTGAGACCTTGTTCTTTAATTCAAGTCTCCAGTCTGAGAGTGAGTGCCTCCTGAACTCTCTCACCTCATCCTAGTCCCTGTCCCCCCACCCCCAAACCAGTGCGGGCAGGTGTGTAAATAGGTGTGGTGTGAATGCACCCTGCAGCTCCTTGTGTCCTCCTGATGGTTTTCTTCCGCTCTGTCCGGCAGATGCTTTGAGCATGTATATAGAACTGTCTGTACCTCTCTTAACAGTGCTTACCTTTCTTTTAATAAATGGTTATTTGTGTCTGTTTTTCTCCTTGTTATAGCCTATTAGAGTGTAAAGACTGTGTTCATTCATCATTTGTTTTCCTGCATGGCCTAGCTCAGTTCTGCACATAGTAGCATCTGAAACCATTTCTTGGATTATTGCATTAGAGTTTGATAGGTTTTTTCAAAGAAAAGGAAAAGATGTAGGCGAAGTGCAGGAGACTGTCTTCTGCTGTCCTCTTGCTCATCCCTGTTGGAGTCTTTCCCTTTTCCTTCAGAGTAATCATCTGTAGGACATCTCTAGGACAGTTTTAGCTAGTCTGCACCATACTTTAGACCAAAAGTTTACTTTTTTTAGTAGTTACCATAAATATTTTTTTGCCATTGCTATCAAGATGCAGATTAAGAAAACTTTTTAATTAGAATACATTCCACTGCCAATAATAGAATCTGTTTTTCACTCTTGCTTAGAATATGCAGGTCTTATAGCCTTCTATTTTCATATATCTTCCAGAGTGGTATTAATACCTGGACATAGAGTTGATGTAAAATGTCCATGTATTGGAGCATCTCTATATGCAAATGAAAAACTTCAATAGATAATTTGTAATTGTTGTTTATACTTAGACATTATTTCATTTGTCTTGACCATCCTTTTTATTTTGTCTTTAATCTGCAATTCACTTTCTGTGCCTGATTTGGCTACATTCTTCTTTAACCAAATCCTTTTGAGTCACTTTTTCTTGTTTCTTAGTATGCTACTTTTCTTTCTAGTCTTAGCTGTGATTTAGTTCTTCAGATGCAGGGGAAGTAAGTTCTTTTTGTCTGAATGCTGAATGTTCTTCAATTTTTATTTTAAACTGTTTCCTTTGGAATTTAGAATTATTCCCTGAGCTAGTCAGTGTTTTTTTTCCTGGGACCATGGAAACTGATCATCTCTTCTAAACTATGCTCTGATTTTTTAAAACCCAACTTCCTGTTTCCAGAAGTTCTCTTCAGTCTTTCATAGTGTTGCTCCCTGTGTTACTATACGGGACTTCCTGCCACTCACATGCATGATGACTCTCCTCTAAGGTAGTCATCCGATCCTGCTTCTGTTCCTGTTCACTAGATTAACCAGAGAAACAGAACCTCTGCAGCTCGGCGGCGATACAGATTTCCCAAGTTGGCTCCAATTATGCTGGAAGTTCTTAAATCATACACTCACTATTTTAGGGGAGGTTCATTTTCGCTACATTTAAAAAAAATTTTTTTTTTATTCATGTGACAGAGAGAGAGGGAGAGAGAAAGAGAGGGAATATGAGCAGAGGAGAGAGGCAGAGGGAGAGGGAGAAGCAAACTCCTTGCTGAGCCAGGAGCCTGATATTGGGGCTTGATCCCAGGACCCTGAGATCATGCCCTTAGCTGAAGGCAGACGCTTAACCATCTGAGCCACCCAGGCGCCCCTATTTTTGCTACATTTTTATCAAGCCAAGTAAAGTAATCTCAAGAAGAGACAGTAAATAGTAACTTATGATCTACATATAAAAACATAAACTTAAAAATGATTAAAATAGGGCACCTGGATGGCTCAGTCTGTTAAGCATCTGACTCTTAATTTCCACTCAGGTCATGATCTTAGGGTCATGAGATCAAGCCCTGCACTGGGCTCTGTGATGGGCGTGGAGCCTGCTTGAGATTTTCTCTCTCTTTCCCTCTCCCTCTGCCCAACCCTCCCTACCCCCACTTTGACTTGCTTGCAAAAAAAAAAAAAAAAAAAAAAAAGTAAATTTTTTGTTTCTATTGTATTTTACCATAATTAAAAAAAAAAAATGCCTGATTCCCAGAAAAAGGTAAAACTAATGACTAGAATCAGGAGAACTCATATCTTTAAGAGTATTGTGGGGAGTTTTCTCTTAGCCAAATTACTGAAAATTATGCAGATGATAATTGTTTGTAGTCCTTCCATTTTTAAAGTAATAGTATTTTTTACCTTTTTTTTTTTTTAAGTAATCCCAACACCAAACGTGGGGCTCGAACTGATGATCCCGAGATCAAGAGTTGCACAATCCACTGACTGAGCCAGGCAGGCACCCTTAAAACAATAGTATTTTTTAGAGCAGTTTCAGGTGTACAAGTACACTGAGAGTTCCTATATCCCCTTCACCCACACCCTAGTTTCCCCATTATTAGCATCTTACATCAGTGGGTACATGGGTTACAAATTATGAACCAATATCAATACATTATTACTAACTAAAGTCCATAGGTTAGAATTCACCCTTTGTGTTGTATATTCTGTATGTTTTGATAGGTATACAGCGACAGGTATTTACTATTACATTATCATACATAATAGTTTTACTGCCCTAAAATTCCCCTCTGCTCCCTACCTCCTCACACTCCTGGCAATCACTGATCTTTTTACTGTCTCCGTAGTTTTGCCTTTTCCAGAATGTCATAGAGTTGGAACCATATAGTATGTAGTCTTTTCAGATTGGCTTCTTTCACTTAGCAATAGCAATGATGCTTACTCCATGTGTTTTCATGGCTTAAGAGCTCGTTTATTCTTAGTGCTGAATAATATTCCATGATATGTATGTACCAAGATTTGCTTAGATGTTCACCTATGGAAGGACATCTTAGCTGGTTTCTATGGTTTGACAGTTATGAATAAAGTTTCTGTAAACGTTCATTGTGCAGGGTTTATGTGGACATAATCTTCCAGCTCACTTGGGAAAATACCAAGGAGCATGATTGCTGGATCATATGGTTAGAATGTGTTTAGTTTTGTAAGAAACTTCCTGTCTTCCAAAAGTGGAAAAAAGGGCTGTACCATTTTTGCGTTCTGAGCAACAGATGAGAGAATTCCTGTTGATCTATATCCTTGCCAATATTGGGTGTTGTCAGCGTCTTGGATCTTAGCTATTGTTATGTGTGCTTGGTGGCATCTCATTTTAATTTGCAGTTCCCTAATGACATATGAATTTGAGCATCCTTTTATATTTTTATTTACCATCTGAATGTCCTCTTTAGTGAGTTGTCTATTCAGATCTTTTGCTCATTTTTTAACTGGGTTCTTTGTTATTGTCGAATATTAACAGTTCTTCGTATAATTTAGATATAGGCATGCCATGTTTTATTGCACTTCATAGATACTGCGTGTTTTTATGAATTGAAGGTTTGTGGCAGCCCTGTATTGGGCAAATGCATTGGTGCCATTTTTCCAACAACATTTGCTAACTTTATGTCTCTGTCACATTTTGGTGATTTTCATAATATTTCAAAGTTTTTCATTATTTTTATATTAGTTATGGTGATCTGTAATCAGTGTTCTTTGATGTTATTATTGGCATTTTTTGAGGCACCGTGACTGCACCGATAGGATGGCAAACTTAATAAATGTATGTTTTCTGACTGCTCCGCCACCTGGCAGTTCCCTCATCTCTCTTCCTCTCTTTAGGCCTCTCGGTTCCCTGAGACATAACAATATTGAGATTAGGCCAGTTAACAACCTTACAGGGGCCTCTAAGTGTTCAAGTGAAAGGAAGAGTCACACGTCTCTCAGTTTAAGTCAAAAGTTAAAAATGATTAAGTTAATGAGGAAGGCATGCAGAAAGCTAATATAAGCAAAAACCTCGGCCTCTTGTGAAACAGCTTTATTAGTTCTGGAGGAAGTTTGAGTGGCCTGGATAGAAGCTCAAACCAACCACAAAATTCTCTTAAGCCGAAGCCCACTTAAGAGCAAGGCCCTAACTCTCTTCAATTTTATGAAGGCTGAGAGAGGTTAAAGAAGCTGCAGAAGAAAAGTCTGAAGCTAGCAGAGACTGGGTCATGTAGTTTAGGGAAAGAGGCCATCTCCATAACATAAAAATGCAAGGTGAAGCAGCAAGTTATCCAGATGATCTAGCTAAGATAATTAATGAAGGTGGCTACACTAAAGAGAATTTCAGTGTAGGCAAGATAGCCATATATTGGAAGAAGATCCATCTAGGACTTTTATCACTGGAGATAAGTCAGTGCCTGGCATCAGAGCTTCAAAGGACAGTCTGACTCTCTTGTTAGGAGCTGATGCAGCTGGTGACTGTAAGTTAGAGCCGGTGCTCATTAACCATTCTGAAAATCCTAAAAAATTCATTTTTAAAATATTACTTCTGACTGACAGTGCACCTGGTCATTCAAGAGCTTTGATGGAGATATGCAGGGAAATTAATGTTTTCATACCTCCTAACATAACATCCATTCTGCAGCCCATGGATCAAAGGGTAATTTTTACTTTCAAGTCTTGCTATTTAAGAAATACGGATCATAAAGCTCTAGCTGCCATAGATAGTGATTCCTCTGATAGAGCTGGGCAAACTAAATTGAAAGCCTCTGGAAAGGATTCACCATTCTAGATACCATTAAGAACATTTGTGAATGGGGCACCCAGCTGACTCATTTGGTTAAGCATCCGACTCTGATTTTGGCTCAGGTCATGATCTGAGGGTCATGAGGTTGAACCCCGTGTCGGGCTTCACGCTAGGCGTGGAGCCTTACTTAGGATTCTCTCTCCCTTCTCCCCCGCCCAAAAAAAACCTTAGTGATTCATGGAAAGAGGTCAAAATATCAACATTAGCAGGAGTTTGGAAGAGTTGATTCCAACCCTCATGGATGACTTTGATGGGTTCAAGACTTCAGTGGAGGAAGTAGCTGCAGATGTGGTGGAAACAACGGGAGAACTAGAATTAGAAGTGGAGCCTGAAGATGGGACTGAATTGCTGTGATCTTGTGATAAAACTTTAATGGATGAGGAATTGCTTCTTATGGATGAGCAAAGAACATGGTTTCTTGAGATGGAATCTACTCATGGTGGAGATGCTGTGAAGATTGACAACAAAGAATTTAGAATATTACATAAAGTTAGTTGATAAACATAGGCAGGGTTTGAGAGGCTTGACTTCAATTTTGAAAGAAGTTCTGCTGTGGGTAAAATGCTATCAAACAGCATTGCATGCTACACAGAAATCACTCATGAAAGGAAAAGTCAGTCAATGGTGGCAAATTTCATTGTTGTCTTACTGTAAGAAATCGCCACAGCCACCCCAGCCTTCAACAACCACTACCCTGATCAGTCAGCAGGCATCAACGTTGAGGCAAGACCCTCTACCAGAAAAAAGATTACAATTTGCTAAAACTCAAATTATTAGCATTTTTTAGCATTAAAGTATTTTTTAATTAAGGTATGTACTTTTTTTAAGACATAATGCTATTGCACATTTAACAGACTACAGTATAGAGTAAGCATAACTTTTATATGTACTGGGAAACTGAGTTCATTTGACTCACTTTAATGCATTATTTGCTTTATCACTGTGTTCTAGAACCAAAACCACAGGATCTCTGCAGTATGTCTGTACAAGTCCTTTGTCAGATATGTGTTTTACAAAAAGTTTCTGTCTATGGCTCACCTTTTTATTTTTGAAACAGTGGCTTTCACAGAACATAAGTTTTTAATTTTAATGAAGTTCTACTTCTCAATTTTGTCTTTCATAGATTGTGCTTTTGGTGTTATACATAAAAAGGCATTGCCAAACCCAAAGTCAACCTAGGATTTTCTCCTCTGTTATCTTCGAGGAGGTTTATAGTTTGCATTTTACTTTTAGGTTTATGATCCCTTTTGAGTTAATTTTTGTGAAGGGTGTAATTTCTGTGTCTAGATTTGTTTTTTGTTTTGTGTTTTTGTTTTTTGTTTTTTAGCATGTGGATGTCCAGTTATTCCATCATCATTTGTTGAAAAGACTGTCCTTTCTCCATTGCTTTGCTTTTGCTTCTTTGTCAAAGATCAGTTTACTATATAAATGAGGGTATTTCTGGGCTTTCTGTTTGCTCTCTGTTTTGTTTTATTACTCTATTTGTCTATTTCACCAATACCACTCTATATTGATTATTGTATCTTTATAGTAAGTCAAAGTATGGTAGTGTCAACCTTCCAACTTTGTTCTTCAATACTATATTGGCTATTCTCGCTGTCTTGCTTCTCCGTATACACTGTACAACCATTCTGTTGATATCTACAAAATAACTTGCTGAGATTTTGATTAGGAGTACATTGATTCTGTAGTTCAAGTTGGGAAGAACTGACATCTTGACAATATTAAGCTTCCTATCAATGAATGTGGAATTTCCTTCCGTTTATTTAGTCTTTGATTTTCTTCATTAGTCATGTATAGATCTTGTACATGTTTTGTTAGATTTATACCTAAGTATTCCATTTTGGGGAGTACTAATGTAAATGGAATATAACTTCAAACTCTGGTTGTTCATTACTAGCTTATGAGAAAGCAATCAACTTTTGTATATTAACCTTATATCCTTCAGCAGTGCTATCACATTTGCTTATTTTAGTTCCAGGAGTATTTTTGTTAATTTTTTGAGATTTTTTTTCTACATAAACAATGATGTCATCTGCGAACAAAGACAGTTTCATTTTTTTCCATTCTGTATGCCATTTATTTCCTTCTCTTGTCTTACTGCATTCATAGGACTTCCCAGTTTGATGTTGAATAGAAGTGGTGAGAGCCGGCATCTTTCCCTTGTTTCGACCTTGGTGGGAAAACATGTAGTTTTTCTCCATTAAGTATAATGTTAGCTGTAATTTTGTTTTTTTGGAAGATGTTCTTTATCAAGCTGAAGACATTCCCTTCTATTCCTAGTTTTCTGAGAATTGTTATCATGAAAGGGTATTGGGTTTTGTCAAATGCATTATATGATTTTTCTTTAGCCTGTTGGTATGATACATTATGTTAATTGATTTTCAAATGTTGAATCAGACTTTCATACCTTGAATAAATACCATTTAGTTGTGGTATATAATTCTTTTTAAACATTGTTGAATACAATTTGCTAATATTTTGTTGGTTTTTTTAATCTATGTTCATGAGAGATAGTGGTCTGTAAGGTCTATTTCCTATCTTGTATTATCTTTGATTTTGGTGTAAAGATGATACTAGCTTCATTTAATGAGTTAGGAAGTATTCCCTCTGATTCTATCTTCTGGGTGATTGTGGAAAATTGGTATAATTCTTCCTTAAGTATTTGATAGAACTCACCCGTAAACCCATCTGGGGCCTGGTGCTTGCTGTTTTAGAAGGTATTAATTAGGGACGCCTGGGTGGCTAAGTCAGTTAAGCAGCTGCCTTTGGCTCAGGTCATGATCCCAGAACCCTGGGATTGAGTCCCGTGTCAGGCTCCTTGCTCAGCGGGGAGCCTGCTTCTCCCTCTGCCTGACGCTCCCCCTGCTTGTGTGCTCTCTCTCTCTCTCTCTCTGACAAATAAAATCTTAAAAAAAAAAAAGTATTAATTATTCAATTTCTTTAATAGGTATAGTCTTATTCAGATAATCTATTTCTCCTTGTATGAGTTCTGGTAGATTTTACCTTTCAAGGAATTGGCCCATTTGATTTAGGTTATCAAATTTGTGGGCAAAGAGTTGTTCATAATATTCCTTTATTAACCTTTTAATGTCTATAAGAGTGACAGCCTCTAGTTTATTTCTGACAGTAGTAATTTCTATCTTTTCTCTCTCTCTCTCTCTCTTTTTTTCCCTTAGCTAACCTGGCTAGAGATGTATTGATTTTAGTTTCCTTTAGTTTTTAATACGATTTTTTTTCCCATGGATAGAAATTTTTATTTTGTTCTCTACAGAGCACTCTGCACCATTCTGTAAACTGTTAAATCTTATCCTATGTTGTTTAATGCCTAACAAAGCCCAGACTTCCTAAATAATTTCTTATCTCCTTTATTTCTCTTTGTAGTTATATATAGAACCAGATTTTTATTAAATGTTCCTTTATTTTCCTTTGAAGGATTACTGGTAGAGCTTTAAAGTAACTTATAAATTGTTTCAGAGAGGAAAGTCAAAAGAGAAAGGATTTACTGATGCAGCAGAATCCTTGATAAACCAAATTAATAAGAGGTATAAACCAAAGGATGACATAAAGTCTACAAGAAAATTCAAGGAGTCTTTGATTGACAGGTATGTTCTTAAATTTTAGACATAATTTTTTTTCTGACACACAACTAAATTATTTTACACCATTTTAAGAAGGTTAGTTTTGAACATGTTCAAGTAATACAACTTTCCAGTAGAAAACACCTAGTTATTTACTTCTAAAAATAGTAGCTGTTTAAATTATACAGGAAGGGAACTGACTTTGAAATTAGTCATTGTAGTAGGTGATTATTACATTTTATAAAGTATCAAAAATACCATATTGATACAGCATACCATTTCGTAAATAAATCTTTAGGATATAGACATTTTAGGATTTTATTTATTGAGCCTAGTGATGAGTAAAACTAAATATATTTAAATATATTGCTTAATGAAACATGAAATTTAAATGAGCTGAAATGAGTTACTTTTATATAGTAAATATGTATTTTTTCGTTGGCAGTCTTTCTGAAGGTTCTTTTCTTATTGCAAAATGTTTCTTTACAGGTTGATTGGTGGTTAATTCATATTTAAATTAATTCTGGCCTTAAGATAAGACACAAAACAATTTCTCCCAGCAGAACCATTCATTTCCAATTGCTTGGCACCTCCTACTGCATGAATGATTCAGCTTATTAACAGTTAGTGTTGCTATTTGCTACAAGTGAAGTTGCAAAAATATTTATATATATATTTATAGCATATTGAATGTAAACTTAGTGACCCAAATGTCTTACCTTATATAAAAAGGCTTTTATGAAGAATATTCTGATACTGAATTGCTTTTTTAATTTTGACAAAACCTTTCTTATAGTGGTTTTTCAAACAAATCTGATCTACAGCTCAGTAAGGTAGGTTTCATTTATTTAACTACACCAAATGTATAGTCAAACTCTATATGATATTTGACTGTAAACATAAAATAGAATCACAGTATAGGGTGGAATTAGTGTTTTCAGCATGTTGATAAATGGATAAACAACCGACAATTTAGTGGCAACTACTCAAAATAGTCCTCTTTCTGTTCGGCTTTTCAAAAAGAAATGTTTGTTTTCCATATGTGAGTGTGATCTTTTCATTTTCTGGTACGTGATTCAATAAATCTTTATCTTCATTTTTTTCCCTAGTTAATCCCATCTCTTCTGACAATAAGATCCTTAAGTCTCTGTTTTTTGTTTTTAAAAAAATTACTATTCAGGCTTAAAATACCAATTATCTTTGATTTCTTCTTCACAATTTCTATCCATTTTAATTTCAAGTTTTGAGGTTCACCTTCTGTATGTTCCTCTTAAATCTCCCCTCTGCTGCCTATGCAACTCCTTTTTCCTAGTTTGAGTTCTAATTTCTCGTCCCTAGATTATTGCAATAGCCTTTATGTAATTCTTTTTGCCTCTAGTATTTCTCTTGCCAAGCTGTCATTCTATTCAGTACAAGCTTTTTTTCTTTTTAAAGCCCCCGTCAGGCCATTCTCTTGTTCCAATTCCTTCTTTGGTCCCTGTTGCTTACTAAGTGGAGACTCAGGCTGGCTTCCTAGTCCCTTTGAATAGTCCATCTTTGGGGCACCAAAATTTGCCCACAAATTTGATAACCTAGTCGTTAAGCGTCTGCCTTCGGCTCAGGTCATGATCCCAGTGTCCTGGGATCGAGCCCCGCATCAGGCTCCCTGCTCCGCAGGAAGCCTGCTTCTCTCTCTCCCGTTCCCCCTGCTTGTGTTTCCTCTCTCGCTGTGTCTCTCCCTGTCAAATAAATAAATAAAATCTTAAAAAAAAAAAAAAAAGTCCATCTTTATTTCCTAGTATTAGCTCCCTATGCACGTCTCCTTTCGCTGAAGCAGAAGAACTTGAGATTCCCTGAAGTGTCTTCCAAGTGTTTATTCTCTTTTTCTTCCCCTCTTCAGAAAAAAATTTGAACTGAGTCAGCATGCTCTCACATTCTTTTCTGGTAATCAAAACTTGATTCCTCCTTGCAAGTCTTGCTTCAGAGTCTGCCTTCTTTTTAAAAACTTCCAAGGTGTCCTGACTCAAAATCCAAATGGGCAAGAATTCTGAATCTACACACCCGATTTCTTTGTACCATTTTTTGATATTTTACTCACTGTTGCCGTTCTTTTTATCTTTCCTGTGTCTTCTAATTAGCATGTTTCTGCTTAGAATCATCTTTGTATCCTGTATAACACTTTCGCTCCCTTTGGTATCCTTTTTAATATTTTGGCTTATTTTTGGTGTCTTCTGTAATACCTAACACATGCTAACACACAAGAGATGAATTGAACGGGTGTATGTAAATGCTGGCAAAAATCCTATTGGAAAAGATAACAGAGATAAGTGATCAGAGGAATAATATATTAAGGGATAAACTTTGAAATAATACAAATAATTATATATAAAACAGCCAAAATACATAGTAAAATTTAATATGAATAACAACTAAAATGAATAGTTTTAATATTTCCAACTTATTAGACTTCAGAGTATTTCTGTTCAGTAATCAATCATTTAGTGATATTAATAGTGGTTTTACATAAACCTTAGTCTCTCCCAAAGTTTTTCTATTTACGACTTTAAAGCAAATGAGTCTGGGAAGAAAAGAAACGTGCTTGCTTTGTGATTCTAAAATCACTAAGGTTCAGCTTGTAGGATAGCATTTACCTATGTACAGGAGTGTCAGTGCAAATAAAGATGTAATTTACAGTGCTTTCAATTATGCTCTTAGATTTTATATTTTATATTTAATTTATATTTTATATTTACATTTTATATTTAATTTTATATTTTATATTTACATTTTATATTTGATTTACGGTACTTTCAGTTATGCTGTTAGTACTTAAAGTCTTCAAAATTTTTATAGGTGTGGATGTTTAATACTTTTATTCAGTTTACATTAAGGAAATCGTTACAGGGGCGCCTGAGTGGCTCAGTTGGTTAAACCACTGCCTTCGGCTCAGGTCATGATTCCAGAGTCCCGGGATCGAGTCCATCATCAGGATCCCTGCTCGGTGGGGAGCCTGCTTCCCCCTCTGCCTGCCGCTCCCCCTGCTTGTGCTTTCTCTCTTGCTCTCTCTCTCTCTGTGTCAAATAAATAGATAAAATCTTTTAAAAAAAAAAAAAGGAAATCGTTACAGATGTAAAACATGAGTAGAAACAAGTAGAAAATATATGAAACTATAATTGCATATGTTGTTTGTTTGCCAAGTATACGAATGTACAAGTTTGAATGTTATATAAACTTCTTTTGTATTTAGGAAAAGGTTCAGAAAAAAAGTTATAGACAACTGAAGACTACTTTTGTTAATGTTACTTCTGAATGCCCATTGTAAGTAATTTTCCATAGATCTTAGTTTAATTCATATTTGAAGAAAATTTATTATATAATGGAGTTAATATTTCTCTTCATTTTTACAGGAATGATGTTTACAATTTTAATTTGAATGGAGCTGATGAGCCTATTATAAAACTTGGAGTAAGCTAGAAATCAGTATTTTGTATTTAGTATTTATTTTATATTCACTGTATAGTTATTACAGTGTGTTTTTTGGTTTCCATTCTCTTATAGATATGCTTTAAAATATTTTAGAATTTATTTGGCACCAACTTAGGTATATTTGGTTTCCTTTCAAATCCTTTGGACTAAAGTAGAGAAAAATGGGTAATTGGGCTATGGGGGGACTCACAGTACTACATTAAGAAAATCACTTTCCTTCTTGATATAAAATTTTAAAATAATTACTCCTATTTATTATGTTTTTAGTATATTTTATAGTATTAGCTTTCTTCTTAAATATAAAAATATTTTAGTAAAATTAATTTTATTAGATGCATCTTATGATAGGAAGTAATAGAAACCAGATTTTATATGTTTATTTTTTTAATTTTTGTTTGCCTTATTTCAACACTAAGAAAATTTTAATGTTTATTCACAATATAGATCCAGGAATTTCAAGCTACAGCTACAGAAGCCTGTTTGGATAATTCAATAAAATTGTAGGTGCTTTTATAATAATTAGATGTATCAAATTAAAATAAACTTCTTAATTGTTCTTTTTCTTCAATATTTCCTCCCAGTTTGTCTGAGAATTTTTAATATATGAGAAGAATGAATAAAAATGCTACTGGCATGATTACCCCCATTATATTTCTAATATTTCAGCCTTTGCTTCTAAAATTAATATGCAGATTCTATGTACTTTTAATATTAGTTGTGTCTCTTAGATGATAAAACTGAAAGGACTTAGTCCTTTCATCTGACTTTGTTATTTTTACAATTAACTGAGGTCAGAGAGCATAAGCAACTTGGCCAGAATTATATAGTAAATTAGTAAAAGAACAAGGCTGAAAACTCCGGTCTGTCTGGTGTATGTTACCTTAAGAGAGCAAATAATAAAGTTAATTAAAATTAATGCATATTTTTGTTTAAGGATAGGTTTAAGGAATCATGATGAACTTGAAACTTCTCTCAAAACAAAAGATAAAAGAGTAAGTTATATCCTAATTATTTTAAAAATAATTTTCCAATGCCAAAGATGATCACAGATCTAGAAAACAATTATTTGGATTTTTCCCCCTCTGTGAGATTATCCACGTGCCTGCTATGACTTTGGCATGGTCTCTGAGCTATTTGTAATCATCTAGTAATAAAAGATATGATAGCTTTGGTTACCTTCTTTGATGACATCGGCTTTTGTCTCTGTGGTCATAAGTGGTTTTAACAACAACAAATTATGAATCTCAATCTCTGATCTGGATTTCTGAGAGACTTTCTAGGTATGTTTTCCTTAATGCCAGGTAAATTAGTATGCCAAAAAATTAAGAAGTTAGTTTTTCTGCTCTTTGGGATTGTTGTGTTTTTTTTGGCTTAACTTACCTTGCATAGTATGATGAGACACATTTCTTCATCTATTACAAGGATTTTTTTTTTTTTATAGATTGTAACAAATCCTAAAAAGAAAAATCTCTTTAGTGATACTGACACAGAATACAGATGTGATGACAGCAAGACTGATGTTAGCTGGCTAAAGGAACCAAAATCAAAACCACAGCTAGTAGACTATAGCAGAAATAAAAATGTGAAGAAACCTAAAAGTGGGAAATCAAGTAAGAAATCACTTTTTAGAGAAATGTTGCAAATGATTTTACCATTTCAACTATATGGAATGTTTTGTTGGTTGATAAGTATATTTGTATATGTAGTTAGTATTTATAACTACATAGCCTTGTGAATAGAAAAGAAGAGCAAATACACCACACCACCACAGTGGTTTTGTTTTTTGTTTTATTATTTTTAGTAATATGGTTATATATAAATTATTTTTTTTACTGGGGTCTTAGAGACACAAAATATGATTGTCATATTTTCGGTTCATGCATACTCTCGTTTGTCTACTCATGGCTGTGATTCAGTTATTTAGCAATTATTGTGAATGATGTATTATTAAGTATTCATGAAACCAGCACTCTAAGCAAAAATCAAGTCTTGCACATCCCATTTCCTGTCATACTCAATGCATATACTTTTTAGGAATTCACATAGAATTCATATAAAGATATATTGTAAGGAAAACAATTTTCTTGCAGAAATATTTTTGCCTAAATCTTCCACAGATTATCTTCCCAGCATATGGCTTCTGCTTTGTCTAGTGACTCTCTTGAAGTAGTTGGATAAGAGTTTGCGGTATGGGTTTTTAGCTAGACCTAATGCATTTTCCTAATCCAGGAAAATGGATTGTTTGCTAAAACACGAAGATTTCATATATTTCATTTTTAAAAGAAGACAACATAACTCTGAACTTTTAAATTGATAAATATTTTAAGGGAATCAGCTTTTTTATGTCAGGATAAAAATAACCAGTCATAACATTTGTGCTTGTGTCGGGGGGACCAGTGATGGCTTAAATAGAAGTAAAAATAGAAATATGGAAATGAAGTTTGGCATGTGTTCATAAATGAGGCTGAATCTTGAAAACAGATGAAGCCTATCCTGTATATGAGGAAGAGAAGCAGCAGTATTATCATCTGTAAAAGAGACAAGTCTGAAAGAGCATCACGTGCTAGTGCAGGGAGTGCAGTATTGGGGTACTTGGAACACAGATCAGACTTGTGGGAAGATGCTGAAAGATGTACTACATCTGGTCACGTGTCTGGACTTTGAAGCAGCGTGTCCTAAGCCAAGGGGAAACATAAGATTCACATGCTCTCAGGGAGTTTGCAGTCATTTGTAACAGAGAGTAGAATACTGTCATCAGTAAATACTTCTAAAATTGAACCTCTGAGTGAATTGTTTAAATGGCTGAATGACTACAAGTCAATATGTAGGGGCTGGCTTATTGCCAGGATTGGAAGATCTTTCTCCCAGAACTTCATTGCTTCCTTGGCTTGGATAATCCCATTTCTTAGGCTTCAGAGAATATTTAGAAAGTTGATTGTGCTTGAAAGACAAAAAAGGGAATAGAAACTAAAGCTATTCTCAGCAATATGGATGAATCTTAGAAACAAGGGTGAAAAATAAAGCAAATCATAGAATATTACCTATGAGATGATACTGTCTTATAAAGTTCACTATATTGTTTAGGGATATATATCTGTGAAGTAAAACTTTAAGACCAAGTGAATGAGAAATAATTCAGGATAATGAAAATATTCCCTCTTGGCAGAGGGGATATTGAGCATCATAGAGAATACACATAAATGGATACATAATTATTCATAATCCAGCTCTTAAATTGAATGGTAGATGTATGTAGGTGTTCACTTTCTAACTTATGTATTCTCTTGCATGTTTAAAAAGTTTTAGGAAGTAAAGGAGGAGAAAGGAAACTGGTAATTCATATCCTACCAAACATTATAAAGTTATCAATGTCAATTTAGCCTCAGATCATCTTGTAATTTAAATTTTTGAATGAGTTTAAAGATATATTCTTGTTATGATTTTAACTTCTATGCAAAAATATTCTAATAAATTTTAATGCCAGTTCTTATCTATTTGAAAAACTTATTTTCTTGAATTGCAGGATCATCTTTAGAAAGGGGTCAACCAAGATCTAAAGTGGTAAAGCCAAGAAGTTTGTGTTCAAACATCACTTTAAAATTATTTTTCTTCTGTCATGTAAAAAAATTCATTTTTCATCTCATAATTTTATCCTTATTGTTACTTGTTTTTCTATAATTGTTCTAACCTTTGCATGCATCCTCCTACCTTCTGCCTTTTTGGATCATGTTGGCCTGTTTTAGGTCTATTTTATTCTGTGGTTTTAGGAACTTTTCATATCTCTGCTTCTCTTTTTTCCTCTCCTCTTTTTTATGTAAGTTAGGTAATATATACCAGGCCTCTCAGAGCTTTAATGACAGGGATAAAAAAAAAAAGGTATAAAGAAGATATTTGGGCAGAAAGATAAAATCCCGTCTTTTAAAAATGTTAATCAAGAATCTTTTTTATTCCTACAAATATTTTATGTATTTCTTGTCACAGTGCCAATTTTATAGAAAATAGCTTGTATTTCTTATATCTCAAATATTGATCTAATAATTCAGAAATTTTTCTCCTAAAGACACCCAACAAAAACATCACCAAAAAGGTAGAGGAGACAGTTCCAGATGGGAGAACCAGACTTCCACGAAGAGCGGCAAAAACCAAAAAAAATTATAAAGATCTTTCAAATTCAGAATCAGAGAGTGAACAAGAATTTTCACATTCGTTTAAAGAGAAATTGCTAGTAAAGGTAAATAGATATAATTCAGATTAAAAATTTCTGAAAAGCCTGTGAAAATACTAAATATAGAATATATTTTTGCAGAAATGTCAAATTTGTCACATTTTAAGATTAACCTTCTATATGAGAAATTTTATAGACTGAAAATTGATCTTTAGGCAATTTTGTGATAAGTTGGCATTAATGTTCCAAAACAGATGTTTGACTCTAGGAAAATGATAACTTGAAGATAATATCTTTGAATTAGAAAAATGCTTGATTTTTCCAAAATTTTACTTCAGAAAAGTACAGACTGTTGGGAAGCTGTGAATCTTTCTCTTGAATGGACCTGAGGTTCTTCCCATTCACTGCCCACCTGTGTCCATCCCTGGTTTCTGTCTTGTAATGTTACAGATGTATCAGTAGCCATCTGTGCTTTAAAGCTTTTTTAACAAAGTAAAAAACAAAACAACAACCCAGTGCTTACAGTGTGCCAGGTGCTATGCTAAGTACTTTAACTTCTTAAACTCTCTTAAGTACCATAGGTGACTAGTACTTTATCGACATCTCATTTTACAAATGAGGAATTGAGGCTCAGAGAGATAAAGGTACACTGTTCTGATTTCCCAGCATTGAACTTCCACCTCCCCTGTTTATAACCTTGCTGCCCTTTGCTTAGATGATTTTAAGGACTTTATAGCTTATCTCCACATTTTCTATCACTTCTTACTTTCATTTACTATACATATAGCTGGCTAATTCTTCCCAAGCCCCCTCTCCTCTTATCCCTCTTCAAAGAAAAACCCTGAAAATCTCCACATAGTGAAATATTCAGTGCATCAGAATACCTCTGCAAGCTCATTTCCCCAGTTCCCTGGTATATACCCAGACCTGAAACAGATGGAGTAACCTGTGACTCCCAAATGGGACCTGTGACGTGCTCGCTTTGGCAACACATATACCCAGTGAGACCCGTGACTCTCCACCCCCTGTGCTCTATCAGGGTCCCCTGGCCTTAGGAGGTCTTCCTTCACCATCTGCCTTTACAACTCCCAAGCATGTCAGGTACCATGAAATCCAAGAACTCTTTCTGGTTTACCTAAATTGAATATAATTTTCTCCTTACAGCATTTTGTTTGTATTTCTTAAGCTATTATAATCCATGTATTATATTTTCCTGTGAATTTGTCATACGTCTTCTAATATATTAGAAAGCCCTTCACTACTCATATTGAGGCCCCTGTTATGCCTGTAAGTAGTAATAGAAGATATTTAGTATTTCAGCACAATTTGTTTTATGTGTCTAAGTATAAATTATTTGCATTCAAGTATGATTTGAAAGTTATCAATACATTTAGGAGGAGAATATCCATTCCAGAAGCAAAACCATGAAGCTTCCAAAGAAACAAAAGAACACCTTCTCTGCTGAAACACAAAAGGATATATCAAAAGGATGGAAAAATTCAGCTCTCCTAAAAGATGCTATAAGGGATAATAGCCTTGGCTTATCTCCTATATCCTTATCCGGGAGCCCGTCATCTATAGAAGTAATGAGATGTCAGTATCATTTTTTCTTTTAATTATTCAATAAATTTCTAATATGACTCTGTGTGAAAATACAGTTGATGATTAATCTTAAATATGCCCTTCAAAATTATAGGTAGTCAAAACTTCATTTTTTGAACTAGTTAATGCTGGTAACTTGGTCTTTGTGAAATAGACATCAGGACAGTGTCCCTGTGACATTCGTCTTTCATGATAGGAAGTTAAAGATCAAATGCTTTATATTTTATATTATAAAATATTTAACGTATATTTACAAATTATAATGTGAAAGCTGAATAAACTTTTAGGTTTTTAATCCCCAAATATATTTAATAACATGAAATTTAATAACATGAATGATGGGGATTTCTACTTTTTTTTTTTTTTTTTACATTTCATTGACAAAAGTCTCCAAGGAATATCATGGTCATTCTGTGGACCCATAGCAGATTATCTTCATGATTTGAGGTTTACTTTTATTTAAAAATAACTGACAAAAATTTATATTCTTTGGAGCTCTGGTATACACACACACACACACACACACACACAAACATACACATATCACACACTTTTCCAGCATAGAAACTGTAAGTTTGTACTTTTTATCTACTTCACTTCCTTTTAAGGATATTTTAAAGCATTTCCAAGTATCCATCTTTTCAGTTAAAATTCGGGATTTAAATAAGTTAACATATACTTCCTCCAAAGTAGCTATATTGTTCTTTTCTAGAATATTTTCATAGCGCTCAGGACCACTGACAGGTCAGATAACCACATACTAGAAGACAGATGTACATGCCCTTATCCGACCTGAAAACTGTCTTGAGAATTCATTTATACAAAGACTTATTTTGGCTATGAATTTCCTCAGCTATATATGAAGGATTTAGATAAGATGATTTCCCAAGCCATCTCCAACCAGAAAATTCTGTGACTTTACTATTTGACTGTATTGGCTATGATGTCAAAATACTCAAGATAATACTTAGGTTGATCATCACAGAGCAGCTCATACCATAGTTCTTATGATTACGTTTTAAATTGAACTATATTTTTCAGAGTTTTACATATTTGGTCTTGATTTATTAAACATTTACCTTTTTAAATATAGATAAGATTTGAGGATTTGATTAATCATTATATTCTTAGAATTTAATCGTACTATTTCTGAAACAGACACCAGTGATGATACCTGCCATCTGTTTTTTGTGTTTTGCGAGGCATTACAGGTATAGAGAAAATAAGAGAAAGGGATTTTACTCAGGATTATGACCGTGTAACAAAATCCCTATCACCTTCTCCAAAAACTTCATCACCTGAATCCTTAAGCAGTAAATACAGAGTTGGAGGTCCAAAAAAGTCGCCTAAAAACAGTGATAAAAATTTATGTGCAAGAGAAAGTTGCTCGCCAATTCCACGATCCTTCTTGTTGGTAAGAATATACATTATTTTTTTCCTTTATCAGATATATCTGAAGAGGGTAAATCATTTGCCTCTAATCTTAATCAAATATACATTGCTTATCCACCTAACATAGAGTTCTGGGTTTGGTCTGCGGGAGAAGAATAACCTACTGATAAGTAAAATAGCCTCCGTGAAACTTCTAAGACTAATGAGTAGCTGTACGGGAGGAAGGTTGTGTGGTGTGGGACGTACTAAGTGCTACTAGGAGTATTGGGATAGGAATGATCATTCCCACAGTGGCACTCCTCACTTGTCTGTACATCCAAATCACATAGTTCATGAATGAATATTAACAATTTGAATGATAAATGAAAAATTCTTTATTCTTCCTCTTTTGTATATTGTTATATGTACCATTTTTTCTTTTTTCTTTTTTTTTAAAGATTTTATTTATTTATTTGAGAGAGAGAATGAGAGAGAGAGAGCACATGAGAGGGGGGAGGGTCAGTGGGAGAAGCAGACTCCCTGCTGAGCAGGGAGCCCGATGCGGGACTCGATCCTGGGACTCCAGGATCATGACCTGAGCTGAAGGCAGTCGCTTAACCGACTGAGCCACCCAGGCGCCCTGTACCATTTTTTCTTAATATGTAGGTATGTTCACAAGGGTTGTAAAAAGACATTAAAGATAGGAATCAATTACAGTCAAAGTGAGGGAGGATAGCTAAAACTGTCATGCCTACAAGGAATAGTTTTAAGTTGTGGATACTTTGGTACCAGTTTACAAACCCCACCCCACCTCCACTCCCTTTTTTTTGACTTGGGTTGTATAAATGGCTTAAATTAGAGAATTTTAAAGCAGTAATAAAGTTATACAACTGACTGCCAAGATATTATAATTTACTATAACTGGGTATAGTAGAAAGAGGTTTGAGTCAGACAGATTCGCATTTAAATCCTGGCTCCACTCTTTGCTGACTGTGTAACATTTTACAAGTTAATGAGTCCCCCTGCACCTCAGTTTTCTCATCTGCATAGTGGGGCCATGGAAAATTAGTCTGATTGCGCATGCATTACTACCTGATACATAGTAAATACCCAAATATATTATCCTCTTGATATGTACTAATCTCTGTACACAGAGATGGAATTAATGAGAGTTCAGTACACCTACAGCCATGGTCTGAAATCTCTGATTAAACCAAACTTCTGTCCTAGCATTTCAAACTGAATGTTTTTTTTCCTATAGACTTTTAAGCTCCTTCTATTCTATTTAGCAAGTAGTCTTCACAGAGCATATTTTTCTAACAAAATCTCTCATGAAAGCACCAATGTGCCAAACAGATAAAAATAGAGCTACACTATTTAAAGCAGGAGGTCTGCACCCTAGCCTACTTGACCTTCCTCCCCAATAACCCCCACGGCACCTTGGCAAGACTCAGTTTCTACAGACCACAGTTTGAACACCAGTTTCCTGCTAGATCATCATCCCACCATCCTTTGTCAATATTGCTCTACTATCCTTGGTTTCCCTGAACCCTTTCTCCCCTCAGTATTCCATCTTGCAAATCTCAAAACCTAGATAATCCGCTGCCCATTTTCTTTTATGTTACTCGGTGCTAGTTGGAATTTTAATTGTCACATACTTATTGGCCATTTGTTTCCCATTTACTGTTGACTCTTAGATATTAGAAATTTGCTATATAAATAGTTCTATCAGCTTACACTCCAACACTGCTATGTGATAGTGCCCATTTCTCTACAGTTTTAACCGGCTGTTACCAGATGGTTCTCATTTTGCCAATCTGTAATTATAGTGAGGAACTTTGTTTTTTAAAGATTTTATTTATTCATTTGAGACACACACAGAGAGAGAGAGAGAGAGAGAGCATGAGCAGAGAGAGGCAGAGGGAAAGGGAGAAGCAGACTCCCCACTGAGCAGGGAGCCCGACGCGGGGCTTGATCCCAGGACCCCGGGATCATGACCCGAGCCGAAGGCAGACGCTTAACCATCTGAGTCACCCAGGCACCCCAGTGAGGAACTTTAATCTGCATTTTACCGATTAACAGCATCAGTATTTCATAGTTTTTGGCTGGTTTCTGAATTGCCTATTTTTTTTTTCTAATTTTTTAATTGCATCGTCTGATTTTTCTTATAAATTTGTAGGAGTTCTTAAAATATTCTAGATATTAATTCTGTATTGGTTACGTACAATGAAAACATTCTTTTTCCAGTATGTTATCTTTTCACTTAAAAAACTTCCATATGACAAAAAAATGATACCATAAAATTTACCAGTCTTTGTGTTCAACAAATCCCTCAGCTACTGTCATATTCCTTTCTGGTAAAAATACTAGTTTTGATGCCTTTTAACTTTTAGGTTTTCAATTTTTCTAGGATTTCTCTTTGCACGTGGGTAGTGAATTAGTGCAGCATCATGCATGAGGTACCCTGCTGTCTCCATCGTTTGCAGTGCTCATCTGGGCACAGCCCCGGCAATGAGGGGGGCAGCTGTGAGGCAGGCTCTCTCTGTACTGAGGCCACATCATGAGTAGAGCCTTACAGGGGCTTCACCACACCACACCTCTCTCATTCTTGGCCCTCTACTCATTCATGTAAATTATGCAGTTTGTCTAAGGGAATTGCCATTTTCCAATATTGATACTGAGCTTTCTCGTCCACATATTTTTCTCTCTACATTTTGGTGCTATTTCCAACAAAATTATGCCAAATCTTCCACAAAGAAAATAGATTAATTCCTGTGTTTTATGTATTTCCCTTTTTCTGTATTAAAAAAAACTAAATTTTCTGGGTTAATTTTTTGCTTTTGTATAGAAACACTATTGATTTTTATATCCCCAACTACAAAGACTAATTCTATCATAATTCCCTGCCTAGGGTCTCTTGGATTTTGAATATAGACAATTACTCATGATAATTTTTGCATTTTCCATTCCAGTCCTTATACTTGTTTTTTATTGTTAAGGTGATGATGACCTCCGGGACAGTGTTAACTAGATACCATACCAGTAGGCGTGCTTATTCCGTAGTTTTTGGTGGTTACTTCTATCAAATAAATGTTTTAGTTGTCTAAGGATTTTTTCCCCTTTAATTGGGAATGGGTGTTGAATTTTAGCAGCAAATGAATTATTCCCTCAAAACACAAGTAGTTTTGGTTTCATATTGTTGTGTTTTGGCTTTAAATAATTTTCTAATTTCCTTTGGGCTTGCATATGTCTCGTTCATTCATAGCCCAGGCTCACTCCAATTAATAATACTGTTGTGAATGGAAAAAACAGAAATTCTGTGGTACTTACACAAGATACAATTGCAACAACTACTCAGATGTAAGCATTTATAGTTCAGAAAAAAGTTGATGAAGTTGAACTTGCAAACAATGAAAATCCTATACAAAGCAATAGAGGTTTAAAGGGTAGTATAACCATCCAACTTAAACTAAGATTGTTCTTACAAGAATCAGATTACTGGCCTTTAATAATTATATTTTAATATTTTTAACTGTTACTGAAAATCTGATGTTTAAAGTATGCAGGATGGTTTGATCATGGAAAAAAGTTGAAATTTTTTAAATGAGAAGCTGTAAGGTCTTAAATAGTGAGGATATAGCTGCTGAGCCACTGACATGCACAGTTATAACTGGGACTTTCTGGTTTCATTATATAGAACTTTGTTTGAGCTTTGTGTCACTGTAGCAGTCCATCAGTTCATCCTCAAAAATACTGTAATAACCTGTAAAACACAGAACGGTAAGGCAGAATTTTATAGCTTGGGGAGGGCTCGACCTCCAGCTCAGTAGATAGGCTTCTGTTCCTTCTCTGCTTGGTCTGGATCTACTACCTAATAAGTAAAGGAAGGCAGCTGGGGTGGGCATGCATTTTCATGGAAGAGGAAAATGACTCATTTGACTGGAATGGAGAAACTTGCGTACTGAAACAGGAAAACACCAGGTTAGATGAAAAGGTGTGGCTGAAATGCAGGTTGAGAGAGGAGTTTAGACTTCTGTTTTGTATGACTTCCCATTCCCTGACTCAAAGAAATCGAAATCCTACTAAGGAAGAATAGTAGTTGAAAAAGCCAGCTGGAAATTATTGCTGTAATTTAGGATTGAAGTGAACAGAGGAATTTTCATTAATGTGTGGTTGTGTTAGAGATGCAGAGGAAGGGATATAAACAAAACTATCTGAAAAAGGAATGGACCCCATTTGCAATTCCCTTGCTTTAGGGTTTGAGAAAGATGGTCAAAGGCGAAGCCAAGAGCGCTTACAGAATTTGTTTCCAATTTCTAATATCTGTTTTAGGGAAGTCATTCCGCATCTCCATTATCCCTGTCTAGTGAAGAAAGAGAGCAAATATGGTGTGACATGCCTTGTGACTCTCCTCATGTGTCAGGTTTGTAGTCCTACACTGCTTTAAAACAGTATTACTGAACTACTGTGCATCTAAAGGAATTCTAGTTGAAGTCACAAAATTTATTCAGTTTAATTAATGTCAAATGGAGAATAGAGCTTAATGCACAGTTGCCTAAAAACAAATAACTGAAAGCCTTTTTTTTTTTTAAATAAAAGCAAGACAATTATTAGGTATTTTTAATCAAGATTGTAGCACTGTTGTTTTTTAACTGTACCTAAGGCCCTACACAGCATCTTAGTCGCAAACGAATGTACATTGAAGATAATCTAAGTAATGCTGATGAAATACAATTGGAAGAGGAGGAGGAAGGGAGAGCATACTTGCTTCCCAAAAAACTGTCTAAAACCGAAGATAGAGATCATCACACTTACAAAGGTAGGTAGATCAAATGCCTTTGTCAAAATGCAATTATTGTGGAACTTGGTTTTAGATCTTGAATGATCCACAAAAAAATCCCCTGTGTAAAGGGAATTCTGGATCAGTCTAATAAGGATGATGCTTTATCACAAAGTTCATTTTATGTGAAAAATATGGCAGTAAGGGTGTGTTTGTACCCATAAATCTCCTTTATGATTCTATTATTGATTACCACATATAAGCTTTACTAGAATATAAATTTACTGAGAGATTGGTGTGTCATTAAATATTTGGTTATTAACATGGAAATAGTTAGAAAATGATCAGTCCAAAAATGTTCCATCCCAATATTACCATTGCCAAGATTTTTTAGAAATCAAAATATTTTTAAATTGAAAAACAGGTCTACCTTTTATGTCAATTCTTAGATCATGCATAGAATGAAAATAAGATTTTTTTCTCAGCTTCATGAGCTTCTAAACTGCATGAAGTTTAACTTCAGACTAAATTTGTAATACATATTTTAACTTTACCTGATTGTCTTCATTTTTTAGTGTCTGGAAGCATATCTCCATTATCAACAAATGACTTTTCTATCCGTGGGGAGAGCTGGGAAAGTGAGATCTCAGGGCTAGGGGTGATGTGCGAAAGCCTCAACATAGATTTTAGAAGGAAGTTTCATGTGAGTTACCATTCTTTAAATTATGATTTATACCCAATAATATGCTAAGATACTAGCTTTCTCCTAGACTATTAGCTGGGTTGATCCTTTGGCAACAAAATACCCATTTGTTAACTCCCTTGGTCCTCATGGACTGGTGAAAAGTGGAATGATTCATCTTAGGAGCCAGGTTTCTCTTCTAAAATTTGTGCGTTATCCATATTCTTTCTTTTGCTAGATTCTTTGTCTTATTTCCCTTTTCAGTTTGTTTACCATTTGGACTCTTGGCACGATTTTTCTTTTTTTCCGAACAATTTTCATGCCTCATCTTTTTATGGCATGGAGAGGACTTCTAGAGAGGGCACCATCACAGAGCATAAAGGATGGAGCCCCTCTCATTCTTTGTCACCAGGTCTGCACACCTGCGGAGCCTTAGCTGCTGAGGCTCCAGTGAGGTGATGCTTACAAAAATACTTTCTAGAACAATTTTTAATTCACATGCCTGTGTTTAGTTCTCTTTGCTTGCTGTTAACTTGTACAGAAAAAAATCTTTTATCATCAGTCCCATCTCTTCCTTATCTTTTTCTTCTCTCTGAAACTAAGAATTTGTATATTTTAATTATCAAAGGTCAACCTAGCCTAAACAGAGAAGCCCTGATTTATATATCCTGTTCCGCATCTGGCTAATCTAGCAAATATGTTTTCATGGAAGATGGTAATTCTGAGTGTGACTTTTAGGCTCTGTTCCCGAAGAGAATTATAATCAGTAGCATTTTTGTAAATAATGTAGACTGTGGTGTCTTTACAAAAACAATGATCAATTAAACCCTTAGTCAAAACCTTCTTGTTGGAACCAGATGCTGCCCTGACTGAGCTAATTAACACTTGGGTTTAAATCACCAAGTTTTTCATTTGTTACTTTTCTGAGTTCTTAGTCATTCACATGGTAAAGCCTTTGTTCTTAACATAGCCTGGGTTAGATTATTTTGTAAAGAGTCTTCAAGTTAAAAATTAGTATTTTTCAGATCCGCCAAAAAATGATGGATTATTTTACTAAGCAATCTTGGAAAACAGCTCAACAACATCTGAACACAATGAACCATCAGATTCAGGAGTATAGGTCTGTAATAAAAACCTCTTTTGAAATCTTCTGAATGCTATAGTTTACAAAAATAACCTCATTTTGTTTCTTTAATAGGATCAAAAAACTTGATAAGTTCCAATTCATCATCATAGAGGAGCTGGAGAATTTTGAAAAAGATTCACAGTCTTTAAAAGATTTGGAGAAGGAGTTTGTGGTTTGTGCTTTTAAGAACTTTTTAAAAGATCTACACTCGGGAAAACTGTTAATTTTGTTCTTTAGGAAATGGTTTTAGATTTCATATACACACACTTGTAGACTGAAGCTTATGATAAATACCTTTGATAATAGGGGAGAACCCTGAGAGAGAGTGTATAATATCTAGTATATGCTTAGCATATAGCCACATTGTTTATTTAAATTAGGAATATAGTAATTCTCCAAGAGTTTTTGTATTTTAAAATTTAGGATTTCTGGGAGAAGACATTTCAGAAGTTCAGTGCCTATCAAAAAAGTGAACAGCAGAGGTTAGTGTGACGTTCTTTATACATTTTTAATCTAAAAATCCAATCACTGTATTATAGCAATTTAAAATGATAACTACAAAGGTAACTCCTTTTGTTAGGCTTCACCTTTTGAAAGCGTCACTGGACAAAAATGTCTTCTACAACACTGATTATGAAGACACTGTTTTTACATCTGAGGTACCAGCTTTTACACGTTGATATATCCTCTCTCTCAATACCTCTTTGCTGTGAAAATTTTACAGTAAATTTCATAGATGAAATATGTATTTATAGATGTGTTCGATGAAAGAAAACATGAAAATGCTGCAAGACAGGCTCCTGAAGGAAACAGTAAGTCCACTCTCAGGTCAGGGTTTCACGTGCACCAGCCACCAGTCAATGACAATTCTGTCACAGGCTTTTCTTTCTTTTTGGACTGAGAGAGAGTTTTAGTTGTTTAAATTAGAATAATGGGAGCAAATTTATAGTAAAATATTAATAGAGGTGATTAAAATGAGTCTGTCCTAAGGAAAAAAGGAATATCAGTTTGCAGATTTTAAAATGAGTTAAAGAATGATTTCCTTGTAATGCACTTAATTTTAATAGAATCTCACTATGCTGGATTAGTAGAAGATCAGGACTTTGTAGCTAAGCCACCTTAGCTTGAAGCAAACAAGCTAACTAGACTGGTGAATGAAATTCAGTCTAGAAAAAAAAAATTTTCAACAATTTGGTATTTCAAAGACTGGATCTCTCAGTTGATCTAGAATATCAGTGATGATCCCTGAACTCTGTAGCTAGCTAGGAATAGATCCGGGGAGGAGAGGGGTTAGATAGAATGAGCACTGATACAAAATAACCTTATGAAAGGGATTGTTTTAAAAAGAAGCCCAAGGTTTTTTTTTTCCTGTTTGGTGGTTTTACAGTGATAATTTAAAGTTTGATTTTTCCCCCCCCTCCCCGGCTATAGCAAGAAGAGGAGCTTCTTAATGTACGCAGAGGACTGATGTCATTATTCATGGCTCATGAAAGAAATGTTCGTGTGTGATGTCTAGTTGTTACCAAGTTTTATCCACTTATTCCTTTTTGTGTATAACAGGAAATACCAGAGTAGCCCTACAAAGAGAAAAATACACATGTCACCCAGGGAAGAGTGCTTTTGTAGGAGCCTCCAAATCCAAAGAAATGTCGTCTTATGGATGAGAAAGAACTACTTTAACATGACTCCAACCTCAAGAGACTTCTTTCTATAGAATATTACTCTTCTTTTAAAGAGAAATTTTTGGGAAACCAAACAGTAATAGGCATTTGCTCGTTTTTGTAGTACTATTTACATTGCACAAATCTTACCAAGTTAACTATACTCATAAAACTAGTTTAATAAAGTTTATCATATAAAATATATTTTAAATGAATACAGACTAAATAGAAGGTATTACTAGTTCAGAATATACTACATGTAATAAAAATTTAGCCATGCTGAGAAAGGGGAGAAGGCTCGGATTTAAAATGGTTCCCTGAGTGTAAGTCGGTACTTTGAGCACATCGTGGGAGAGTGTGTTTATTCAGTTATGGCTCCAGTTACTTTATTGTCCGAACATCTCTTCACTCCTAAGCAGGCTGTTTTGACCAGTACTTTTTAAGCTCCTAATAGTCATTATAATAGTATCTTGCTAAAATATAAAAATATACATTTGTTTTAATTGTATATTAAAGTTGAAATAAATGCTCTGTGACTTGAATATTATAGTTATTTTATGAACACTGGATCAAACAAAAATCTGAACTGAAGCAGGATAGTAAGCAGCCTCACTCCCTATTGCTGGCCTGCAGAAGGGTAGCCGAGTGTGGGAATACTACCAGTATTTAAGTACAGTGGTAAAAGTGGCTTTCTTAGTCTAGCCAAGCAGAGGAATTCAGTTATTGGGAGGGCAGCAGGGATTCTATGTCAAGAGACAGTGATCGCTCTCTCTACTCGAACAGTAAATAATACTCAGGAGTTGAAAGTCCATGCTGCCCTGGGAGAGGACCCCTCCTGTTTGGCCACACTTACAAGTCTCCTAAATCATGTGTCACATGCCTTCCCTACTGCACTGTGTGTGTGTGACCCAGCCCAGGTCTCCACTGCCACCTACTTACTCAGTAGTTGTCCTGCTAAATCTCCCTTTCCAATGTTCTTTTCACCCCAACCTCCCCCTGCAGCTTGCTTTCTGGAGTAGTCCCAGGCCATTCACTCCACCACTTTACCTTCCTTGTTCCTCTTCCCTTCCTTATCCATTATAGATCCTCTAGTCAAAAATAATACTCTTTTCCCCCTCTCTCCTCTCACTGAGTCTGCTAATTGACACCCCTCATTCCACAATCAGAACATCACTGGAGAAAACTTATAATCAGGCTTAAATTTATGACCACATATTTCACATGGCTACTCAGCAATCCTACCTCTGCCCTGTTTAATTGACTTTACCACGTTTCCAGAGTATTACCGCATATCAATACCACATACTTTCCATTCCTTGTCTCTTTCCTGGCTTCCGTTTTCCCTCTTAATGCAGGGCTCATTCCCGGTCTGTCACTTTTCTTCAATCTGTACTTTCTCCTTAGGTAACTTCACATGGTCCCATGTAATAGCCATCTTTGTGTTGATGGCTTGCCAGTGCATACAAGTTCTGACCTTTATCTTGGACATTAGCATCGCACACAACACTGCTTTTTTGACAGTTCTAATAAGCATCTCAAGTCTCAGAACCACCCTTGATTTCTCTCCCTCAGTACTTTCTCAACACCAAAGGGAAAAAAACACCTTGTCTCTCCATCTCTCTTATCCACCCAACTGTGCAAGCTAAAACCTAGGATTCCTGATTTCTCTCTTTCCCTTGGCCACTTAGTTGATCAAGTCCTGCAGATTTTACTGCCAAAATATGTTCCCCGTATGTGTAATTTCTGTCACTTACACTGTCACTACTATTGACTGTCAGTATTTCTCACACAGACAATTGCACCAACCTCCTAAACGGCTTTCCAGCATTCGCCCTTGCCTTCCACAACCCTTTATTCACTTCGCAGCCAAGATATTCTTAAGTCATAAATCCTAGCATGCCTCTCAGGTACGTAAAACTCTCCAGTGACCACAAACTCTTAACCAGTGCGTCAAAGAAGGAGCCACAGGGAAATTCGAAAATACTTTGGGACAAATGAAAATGAAACATTCTGAAACTTAGTGATACAGCTGAGAGGGAAGTTTATAGCTGTAAATTTAAAAATGAAGAAAGATCTCAATAACCCAACTTAAACTTTAAAAACTAGAAAAAAGAGCTAACTATACCCAAAGCCATTAGAAGGAAGGAAATAATAAAGATTACAGTAGTTATTTAAGGAAAAAAAAGTGGAATAGAAAAACAACAGAAAAATCAATAAAACCAAAAGTTGGTAAACCATTATTAAACAGACTGAGATAAACAGAAGACTAAGATTTCTTTTTTAAAGATTTTATTTGAGGGCGCCTGGGTGGCTCAGTTGGTTAAGCGACTGCCTTCGGCTCAGGTCATGATCCTGGAGTCCTGGGATCGAGTCCCGCATCGGGCTCCCTGCTCGTCAGGGAGTCTGCTTCTCCCTCTGACCCTCCTCCCCTCTTGTGCTCTCTTAAAAAAAAGAAAAAGATTTTATTTGAGAGAGAGAGCATGAGTGGAGGGAGAGGGAGAAGCAGACATCCCACTGAGCAGGGAGCCCAACGCAGGCTTGATCGATCCCAGGACCCCGAGATCATGACCTGAGCCAAAGACAGACATTTAACCAACTGAGCCACCCAGGCACCCCCAGAAGACAAATTTCTAAAATCAGAAGTGAAAATTGGGGACATTACTACTGACCTTGCAGAAATAGGATGAGAATACTATAAACAGTTGTATGCCACAAATTATATATCTCATGTGAAATGGATGAATTCCTAGAAACACAAACTGCCAAAACTTAGTCAAGAAGAAACAAAATCTAAATGGTCTTGTAACATGTTAAAGAGACTGAATCAGGGGCGCCTGGGTGGCTCAGTCGGTTTGGCATCTGACTCTTGATCTCGGCTCAGGTCATGATCTCAGGGTTGTGAGAGTAAGCCCCACGTCAGGCTCCATGATCAGCTGGGAATTTGCTGGAGATTATCTCTCTCCCTCTCCTTCTGCCCTTCCCCTGCTCATGCGCATGTATCCTCTCCCTTAAATTTTTTTTTTTTTTAAGATTTTATTTATTTGAGACAGAGAGAATGAGAGAGAGAGAGAGAGCACCTGAGAGGGGGGAGGGTCAGAGGGAGAAGCAGGCTCCCCGACGAGCAGGGAGCCCGATGCGGGACTCGATCCCGGGACTCCAGGATCATGACCTGAGCCGAAGGCAGTCGCTTAACCAACTGAGCCACCCAGGCGCCCTCCTCTCCCTTAAATAAATAAATCTTTTTTTTTTTAATTTTATTTATTTATTTATTTGAGACAGAGAGAATGAGAGAGAGAGAGCACATGAGAGGGGGGAGGGTCAGAGGGAGAAGCAGACCCCCTGCTGAGCAGGGAGCCCGATGCGGGACTTGATCCCGGGACTCCAGGATCATGACCTGAGCCAAAGGCAGTCGCCCAGCCAACTGAGCCACCCAGGCGCCCTAAATAAATAAATCTTAAAAAGAGATTGAGTCAGTAATCAAAGAATTCTACCAACTATTTAAATAAGAATTAACACCAGAAAATAAAAGAGGGAACATTCTTAACTCATTCTATGAGGCCAGTATTCTCTTCCTCCCAAAGTCAAATAAAGACATCACAAGAAAATTACAGACCAGTATACCTTATGAATGTAAGGTAAAAGTCCTCAACAAGGTAACAAGCAAGGTAAATCCAGCAGCATATTATAAGGAATACATTTAATGGAGGAGGTAAAAGATTTACACATGAAAACTATGAAACATTGGTAGAAACTAAAGAACACCTAAATAAGTGGAAAGACCTCTCATGGTGCTTGATTACAAGACTTAATATTGTTAGAATAGCATACTTGGAAGTAATTTACAGATTTAATGCAATCCCTGTCAAAATCCCAACAGCCTATTTACAGAAATAAAAAAGCTGATCCTAAAAATCAAACGGAAATGAAAGGGACCTCACATAGCAAAACCACCTCAAAAAAATAATACAGTTGGAGTACTCACACTTTCCAATTTCATACTTAACTACAGAGCTGTGTTAATCAAAACTGCATAGTGCCTCAAGAAGGAGAGACATCTAGACCAACAGAATAGAAATGACAGTCCAGAAATAAACCTGCTCATCTATGGTCAACTGAGCTTCATCAAGACTGCCAAGACCATTTGGTGGGGAAAGGAGTAGTCTTCAACACATGGTTTGGGGTAACTTGATAGCCCCATGCAAAACAAGTTTGTGCCCTTACTTTACACCATATATAAAAAAATAAATTGATCAAAAACCTAAAAGAGCTAGAACTATAAAACTTAAGATAAAAAAGCATAGGAGTAAATCTTCATGACCTTGGATTTGGCAGTGGATTCTTAGATAAGACACCAAAAGCACCAGCAACAGCAAAACAAAACAACAAAAAACCCAAAAGGTAAATTAGACTTTAAAAACAAGAAAACCTTTGTGCAAAGAGTACTTTCATAAAAGTGGAAAGACAACCTACAGAATGGGAGAAAATGCTTGCAAATCACATATCTGCTTAAGATCTAGTGTTCAGAACATATAAAGAATTCTTACAGCTAAGCCACAAAATGACAAATGACCCAATAAAAACAGGGGCAAAGGATTTGTATGATCATTTCTCCAGAGAAGATGTACAAATAGCTAACAAGCACACGAACATGCACGGAATATCATTAGTCATTTAGAAACTGCAAATCACAACCATAGCAAGATGCCGCATCACACCCACCAGAACGGCTAGAATCAAAGGACTGAAAATAAGTATTGGCAAGGTGGTGCAGGACTCGGAACCCCACGGGTTTCCAGGGGGAATAAACACTGCAGCCCCTGTGAAAACCAGTTTGGTGGCTCCTCCCAGAGTTAAATGTGGAATTATCCTGTGACTCCACAATTCCACCCTCTGGCAAAACACCCACAGAACTGAAACCAGATACTCAACAGATACGGTACAGGAATATTCGTCCACAGCAGCACAAGTCCTGACAGCCAAGCATGGAAACGCCCTGAACGGGCATTAAGTGAATAAGCGCAGTGTGTGCACGATACACGAGCTGTTCCTCGGCCATAAAAAGGAAGAAGTACTGATTCATGTTACAATGTGGATGAACCTCAAAAAGACGCTATGGGAAAAAATAAACACAAACGGTTACACTGTAGGACTGGATTTCCATGTAAATCCACAGAGACAAAGCCGGTTGGGGGTTGCCAGGGGCTCAGGGAAAGGGAAGATGAGCAGTGCCTACTTCAAAGATAGGGAGTCTCCTTTGGTTAGGATGAACCAGCCGGAAACAGTGGTCGGACGGCTCCTGAGTGTATTAGACGCCACTGGAGTGCGCTCTTAGCATGGTTAGCTTCCTGTTCTCTGCATTTCACCTGAATTTACTTTAAAAAAATTACTGAAAACCCACAAAACCTCTCCAGAGGCGTCCTTTGCGCTTAAAACCCAACCTTTCGATCAGGGCCTGAAAGTCCCTACGTGAGCTGGACTTTGCCTCTTTCCTCACCCTCACTTCTGGCTCCTCTCCTCTCATTCGGCAGACTTCCAGCACTGTTGCTTGCTTCCACCCTATTCCTGCCGTGGGGGCTTTGTCCTTGTGCCTCTGTTCCCACGGGCACACGCTGTCCTCTGGGACTCACGTGAACGGTACTTCAGAGCGGTCCTCCCTCACAGACCTATCAATCTCACTATCACTCCAGAAATTTCTTTCTTCCTCCCTTCCATAAACCCCACTGCTGT